TGAGGTCAGAAAGTTTCGACCTCAGGTCCTGCGTAATTGATCCGGAACCGGCGCCCAAGGCGGAGCCGGCTCCCAAGGTGAAGCCACCTCCTCCATCTCTGTCGGTCAGTAAGGGCCTTCCTAGGCGATCGGCTCCTGCTGTACATACTGGGTCGGCTCACACCGCCAAGCGTCCAAGAGAGACTGGCGGTGGCTCCATTGGGAGCGTGCAGATCCCAGGACAGTATTTCGGCAAAGCCCGCACGAAGGAGTCCCCTGTCCAACCTCCTGAACCGCCAATGGGCGGGACGGAGGGGAGCGCACAGCCGTCCGCGATGGATGTGGATAGAGAGGGGAGTAAGGGCGATGAGAAGAAGAACAAAGCAACCGAAGAGGCTGCTGTAGCGTCAAAGAGCGCAAAGCCGCATCCGGCGAAAGCGTCGCGTCCTGAGGCCCTAAGCGGCTTGTTGGATGTGACACTGATCAGCGATGTACCGGGATATTTCCGATGACGAGTATTCCCCTACGAATGTGTGCATGTTTCCAGACTCATGGGAGGGCGCAATGCCGACCTCCGTAGCTGGAAAGCCCGGAGGTTTTGAGCAGTTCAGAAACGAGCTCATGAGGATTCAGAGAATCCTGGATTCTCCGGCGTTGGTCGACCTTGGTAAGGTCGATCTGGACGCTCTGGGCGAGCCGCCAGGGAGTACGTCTCGGATGAGGATCACGAGGGTCACGTAGATGATGATGGGATGGGCCCATATGTGGACAAGTTCTCATCAATGGGCGACCGCGACCTAGTGCCCTCAAAGCAGGAGCCGCCCTACTATGAGGCAAAGGCGTGGCGCACCACAGAAGAGGAAATTGAGAGGATGAAAAACCTATTTCCATACGTTCGTGCCGAAAATTATCGGCTTATGTCAGCGGAGACTGGTCCCATAGGTGCCAAAGCGCACGAAAAGGGCGTCCTCCCTGTTGGTGCGTCGCTAGAGGATGCACTGATGGCAAAGCCCGATGTGTGCCCGATTGCGAGCACCTACAACCTCACATACGAGGGTGAAGAGGTTGTGTTTGATGCACAGAGCGGGACAGCAGGCAGAATCGCCTGTCCTGCCGGTAACGACATCTTCCATTTTTTCCCCGAGATTAAGGATACGTCGGCGATGCTTGGGCGAAGCTCCAGGGAGTCGCAAATGCTGCTAGAAATTTTGTCGGGCAACACTGACCCAACGCGGTTGAACGTGAAGCCCGGTGAGCCGGCTCCCTTCTTGTGTGGGACGGTTCCAGACATTCTGGGAGGTTGGATGTCAATGACTCTAATCTCAACGCTCTTTGAGGCCCTATACGGGATCCATAAGTGCACGAGTGTCGAGGTGGCGACCTGGGTGGGTTCTCTCGCGAAGGAGAGCCCAGCGTACCCTCCAGTCGAGCTCCTAATACGGACAGTCTGGAGGGGAGATGGCTCGACTGTGCGCCCGAATGAGGTGCTTTTTGCGCGTTCCACCCTAATCGGGAGGGACGTGCCGTTCAAAGTTTTCAAGCGTTGGGCAATGCGACCTGAGCAGGTCTGCAGGGGGGAGATCATGATCGGGTTGGAGGGCGCAAAGGTGCCTCTCCTCAAGTTGCCAAGCCCCAATAATGAGGGCGAATTTTATGTTGACGATCGCGTCAAATACATGGACAAGCGCCATGTCGTTGTGGCCGTTGACTTAAAGTGGATGGCCATCGAGGAAGCCGCCGGCATCTATAAAACCCGACGCGGTTTGATTGCTGTGCGAGAGGAGATACATGCGCCCTTTTGGCGCGCATGTTATCTGCACCAGGAAGGGGATGTAATATACATCCGTCCCTGGGCGGTCCGAGAATTGAATGTCCAGGGACCGCGGAGAGGGGTGTCATTTTCATGGGACAAAGCTCCCATGCATGACTCTTGGTGCCCTCGGTGCGCGCATTTGAATATGTATGGCACCATTCTATGCAATGGTTGCCATTTGCCGATTTTCTATCGAGAATGGGTGCCAGGCACCATCCGCTCCCAAGTTAGGAGAGGGCAGCCAGTTTGGCTGGACGGACTCAAGGCAGTCCGTGCCAACAGCTGGTATGAAGGAGAGACTGACGTGTGGGCTCCTCTCATGGCGTCGGTAAACCCGATCCGCGAGGTGGTCAGCTGTATGATCTCCGGTTTGCGCTGTGCGCCTCATCTTGTGCACAATCCCAATGCGGATACTGTGCAGGTTGCGTTTCAGGAGGTTGTGAAAGTCACCTCAAGGGACACTCACGCTTGTGTGCGTGCGAGTGACGAGGCTCTCGAGCGATGGGTAGCAAAACAGCTGCTCATCGAGGAGAGCAATACTGGCGTCCCAATTCCCGACAATATGTCTGTCATGACATATTTGGTCGAGCACCCGCAACAGGCGGCGCAATGGGGTCGTCATATGACGAGAAAGGGCAGTCTAAATTCAGCATTTGCTCTTTACCTCTCTGTGCATATTTTTGATGCCTACCGCATCGGGATTGAGGACGGATATTTGGTTCCACTGTATGGCCTAGGCGCCTCACGTGCGGACATTATAATGTCATTGGTACATGCTGAGCGACGCCTCTCGGACTTCAATAGTGAGGACCCAAGTTTTGATGCCTCCACAGTTCTCGATTTGAGTATCGACTCTCTGCGGGCCGGTGGTGGATCCATCACGGCCCCGATTGAGTATGCTGAGGCATACATTTATGTCGAAAATAACAAGGTTGACATGGTCCCCGCTGCACAGCGCGACGGCCAAAGCGCCATTGTTTTTGCTGACCCGCCGACTGGGAAGCACCATAGGCGGGCAGCCACTCCTATATAGGGGAGATCATCGGTCTGCTACCCCGCGACCTGATTTCAGGGCAAAGGGGGATCAACAAAAGGGCAAAGCCCCTGCGCACTCCTGGCCCAAGGGTGGAGGTCACAAGGGTGACCAGTTCTCCGGCAAGGGTCACAAAGGTGACCAATTTACAGGAAAGGGTCACAAGGGTGACCAGTACAAAGGCAAGGGTGGCCAATACGGCTACCAACAAGGGCAGCCCGGTCGTGGCGGATCCGCCAGATCGAGAACTCCCACTGGCGGGTATCAGCCTGATGCTCGCGAGTCGGGCTACAGGGGCGCACAGGCTGCTCCTTTCCCGTTCCCAAGTCCGATGTATCCCAATTTCCCGATGGGAGGATACATGCAACAGCCCATGGCTGGCATGATGCCGCAAATGTGGCCCGGCGCAATGCCGCAGGGTTGGCAGCCGCATATGCAGGGTGATCCCCGCGAGCTCGAGAATCCGAACTCGCCGCATACCCCTACCTGGGGTGACGATGACGAGTTGGCCGAGACAGTGCCTCCTCCCCCTGGGGACTGGAATGTCAACAAGGGGAAGGGACGGCACGGCGGCGGACGACATCGGTAATACCTGAAGTCTGTCTGTGTGTTTTGCATGGCTGCGCCAACGCGCGCATGCTTTCATTTCGGAATTCACAAGATGGACTATGCTCCTTGTCGTATTTCGTTGTCTGGGCTATTCGCCATTTCAGAATTCATCTGCATGTGTGGCTGTGCGCTATTCGCGCAAGCTGCGATTACCCGTCAGGTGTGCGTCGCCACAGCAAGGCAGTCACCCTCGGCGGCGTCTATGGCCGCTGGTGATCGGTATCCTCCTGCACCGCTGCTGCTGCTGGTGATGGAGCTTATCAAGGTGCCGAGGTGAGGATCACGGATGCCCCGCACCGCTGCCGGTGAGGCCCTACTCGGACCTGAACCGCCGAATGCTGCTGGCGGTATCCCTGGAGGTTGTCTTCGAGTGATCGCGCGCCTAGACGGTGCCGTTCAAGGCCGAGATATTTCGGTCTTCGCACCACGTTTCAACCAGCAAGCCAATGCGCTTTTGACAACATAATTCAAGCCCTAAATCCACGTGAATCTAATGATTCAATGTGGTTGCATCGCAGATATATCACGCCTGCCATTTTGGAGTTGAATCTTTGTTTCTGTTTCGTTTTGCTTTCTCTTGTTTGATTTGGCTACCGGGGCGAATCCGCCTCATACCCGTAATTCGGGGTGGTGGCGGGATCCGGGCACCAATGAGTGCCCGGGTATGGGGTCGCGAACCCTGGTAGCCTAATCGGCTTTGTTTGTCTTGTTTGTTGCATTTCAACTTCAGCATGGCCAATGCGCCTTTCCAAATTAACTCCTTCTCTTTGTACAGTCGAGGGGGGTGTTTTTGGGGGCATGTACTTTTATCGCAACATGTTTAATTTCACGCCAATGCCCAACGCGGCATTTGGCTCAAGCTTTTATTCCGTCGATTCGACCTGCCATTACCGTCAAAATCGCTGGCAGCGGCGCCGTGCCGGTGCGTGGGTGTTCGAATCCCACGCCCCGGATTACGGCGGCTGGGTGGTTTTGGGTGTGGGTCAGGTTTGGGTTGGGAATCGCATTGTTGCTGCTGCTCCGCTTCTGCTTGGTTAATTGCTTTGCTCGCTTGCTTGCTGCGCTCGCTTGGTTGGCTGCGCTGGTCCCCTTTCCTGTTTGGGTTTTGCGGTTAAACAGGATCCCCCGTTTGTTATCTGTGTGGTTCATTGCCAGCCGAGGGCACCACTTTGCCCTTGGGACTGGGGGGCTTAAACTGTCTCTTCTTGTTGGTGGGTTAGGGCCTGTTTATTCTCTCCCGAAATACTGTTTCAAACCCTTTCGCAGGGACAAACAACCCCCATCTATTCATCTACCTGGCTTATTATCTTCAGGTCAACAAACCTGAATTGTTTGCATTGGCAGGGCCCATTCTGATACGATGCAAGTCGCCTACTCCGGGGGGCATTGGACTTAGTGAGTGGTTAGTAAGCCTAGTCATAACCCACTTACCATAGTTATAAGTCTCCTAACTGGGTTATGACCAGGCTTTCTAACCACTTGCAAAGTACACTGCCCCAGTAAGTAGTGGGCATATGGCCCGCAATCCTCTAATCCTCTACCGTGGTCTCTCATTCCCAGGACGAGCCCATCGTGCTCATGTGGAACCCCGGCCTCACGGGAGGTATGGAAAAGCACTTGAAGCCACATTTGGGCGTGTCCTTTTCGGGGGAACCTTCCCCCCCAAAAAAAAGAGATGGTTGTCCTTTTAGTCCCCCCTTAAGACCCAGACCCAGCCCAAAGGGGATCCCATAAAAAATAACACCCCATGTGGTTGAAACACAATGCCCCGCTTTTTTGCCTTGAAGCAAATGACAATATCATCATCGTACTTGGTTTACTCTTCTGGCGTTCGAAGCTCGATGCCAGCTGAAGACAGACCGACAGGCGATTGGTGGGAATCCAGTTGGAAATGAACTTCCGTTGCTTAACGTGCTGTATGTTCCCCTGTGTTTTTTTTTGGGTGTGTGTGTGTGTGTTTGTGTTTGTGTGAAGGGAATCGGAATCTACTACGAAGTACTGGACAAAATGTGTTCCAGGGGCTGCAGCAAAAACATTATTGAAGCTGATTAATTACTGGAAATATCACTAATTGCTGGACATCTATCACTAGTTCCTGGAAATAGTTATTTTCCAGGGGCGTTATGAGAAAAGACACACTCCATGATTCAAGCCGAGGATGTGGCTGTCCATGGTCATGAACGGCATGGTGCTCACGGCACCCCAGCGGTTTTTATGCTTGGCTCGCGGAGTGGGTGCCTTGCGTGCCGCCCTTTGTCTCTTCTCCTTGGTGTCCCAGCGGGCTTTTTTGAGACCCTGTTTGGGGCGGCTGCTCAAGCAAATTGGTTGTGTGTCTAGGAAAGCCTAGCAACGCCCAGTGGGCGTTCTTGAGGCCCTGCTTAGGGTGGCTGAGGAAGTTCGAAGGGGGGGGTTCCACTTGGAAACTGCCCCAAGTGCTTTGAATGAGCGGCGCGCGACTTCCCTTTTGGGTTCTTTTCTCGGGGTTGGACCTTGGACCTCCGCTTGGACAGTTCTACCCATCAAGTCTTTGAAGGGTAACGGCAAGCTAAGTCTAAAGGGGTAGCCTATGTGTGGGCTTGGACTCAGGTGCATTTCCAACTTGATGTTGGGCAATGGGGGGGGAATTGTAGCGACCCCACCACCAATGTAGGCATTTGGACCACCAAAACAGGTGGTTTTCCTGCTGTTTGTCCTTGAAAGCAGCCCGGTAGACTTTATATAGAGGGTACCCTACAAAAACACGCGCCTTTTTTGTTGACTTCTAAACGAACCGAGCCTCAACAAATGTCACATGCCCATAAATTGGAATGGGCATGTATCAAAATAGGGTGGACCAGCACAGCCTTCGTTGTTCTTCGTCTTTTGTATTGCCCAACAGGATATCAGTGTGGGTTTTGTTTCTCTCTCTCCCTCTCTCACATTCGCGCGCGTGAATCGGCTCGAGTCCTGTTTTTCAGGTGGTGATTGTGGGCGTCTACTTGGTTGCTTTGATGAACTTCTGCGATGGCCAGATCCTGCAGAAGGACATCTACGAGCTCGGCCCAGGCAACCGTGGCCTTTTCGTTGGGTTTTTTGCTTGTTTCGTCGTTTGCTGGCCTTGTGTGTGTGCTTGGGCCAAGTACGGTCATATCGAGAAAGGCCACCCTCATTAGCAGCATCATGACCCCCCCCGCCCATCCAACAGCAGGGGACACAAACACAACAGCTGCAAATTCATTTGGAACCCCAAAAGGAGATTCGTCTACATGGCGGTTTGTTGGGCTAGTTCGCACGGGATAGCAACATGAGGAGCAGCTTCTTCCAAGTTGGGGTGGAGCTTATTGATTTTGGGTTGCGTTTCTGCTGGCCCGGAGCTTCGCGGCATTCGGGCGTCTCCGGGGTGAGTAAACTTACTTCTCGAGATTCTGGAGTTTTTAACAATTACCTGGTGGTAAGCAAGCAGTTGCACTTGTTTGGTGAAATCACTCAGGACGTGAGACTTGTTCGCGCTTTTCAAACCAGAACCCTCAGTGCACCTTTCCAGGGTCCGAGTCCCGCTGATTTGTCTTGCTATCTTATTTGGGATAGGCAGACCAAAAAAAAACAAAAAAAAACGGGGTAGCGAGCTCCGGGGGCCAAATTCGGGGTGATGAAATTTGGGTCAAAAGGATCTTGCCTGCCATTTCGCGCCGCCAGATTTCCAGAGGAGGCCTCTTAGTTGCAAGAGGGTTCTGGGCCGGGGCTAGCGACCTTTGCATTCCATGCGTGCATGCAGTCGGTAAGTTGCGGCAGCAACCGGACCCTGCCAGCTATGGCTTTGGTTAGCCTTGTTGAAAAAATCGCAAACAACAGGGGTGGCACATTGATAGCACATTGATAGCACCCGTGCGTTCAAAGAGGTGGACCCCTCTGCACTGGCCTTGGGTTTGACCGATTGCTCTGGCTCAGTCGCTGAGTTCCTGGGCTTCAAAACTCTTAGGACGACCATTTCAGTGGTTGGACTTGGATCCAGTTGGAGGCAAAGTGCCAGTTGGAGCTGGAGGAAACTGAGACCCTTTGAGGCTTACAGGATCGGGGGGCCGTAGGGGGACCCAAGGCTGGCCCAAAATAACCTAGCTGGCGCGGCATCTTGCCATGCTCCCGGCATCTTGCTATTCTTGGTATGTGGTTTGTGAAGCTGTGCTTCTCGACTTTTCGACTTGCTTTTCGGGTTCTGCTTGTTCGCTGGCCCGGAAGCGGGGGAACCTGTTTTGGATGATGTACCAGGGCTTTGGAAGATCAGTACTTGGTCAAGGCGACCCCTGGCGAATTCCCATTTAGGACCTCTGAGGGCAACGTTGGATTTGAGTGTATGTTGCAATTGGCATGTACTTCGCAGGGCTGTTCCTTTTGGTTTGCCTTGGAAACATGTTTTGGCCCCCTAAGAGTTTGGGTTTCTCCGAGGATTCCACATTTGTCCCAACCACGGGTCCGAACCATTTGTTTTTGGGAGGGGAAGGCACACGCTGGTTGTGGATCAGATTTAGGAACGCTTTGCAATGGCAAAGGCCGTTTAAGTGGTACAGTAGTCTTGGGAATGACCCGGATTGGCACAGACACGGTGATCTACCCCACGGGAGAAAACTTAAACCCAATTGTTCGGTCACATGGTCGACCCCAAGTTGTTCTCCTTTTTGCTCGGGGACATTGCTGCAAGTCTCCAAATTGGCTGTGAATGCTGCGAGGGGTTGTTTAATAACAAGAGGCGTTTTTGTATTGGTTTAAAATTCCTGGACTCGACTGCGTCAACCGAGGCTGAGCTGTGCGCAGACTGTGGCCTTCATTTCTCTGGTTTGGCCCGGCTCTGAGTTTGGGGGCCGGCGCATTGTTGACAGAGCCCCCAGTGAGAGAATGGCCCGAGCACGATCCAACTTGTTGCTTGCAGGAACGCCAGTGGTCAAACCTTCCGGTCTGCCTAAATACCTCCAACCCTCCAAAACTGGTCCGGGCCAATAAGGCCAATTTGGGCCAATAGGCGTAACACCACCTTTAGCAGTAGATCGAGAGGTTTTAACCAGAAGGACCCGAAAGAGCTCTTGAGTACTTGCTTGCGGGGCCTTTTCTAGATGGGCTTTGCCTTCCGAAACCCAACATGATCCACCTGAATGTGGGAGAAGGGCAACGGGTGGCAAAAACCCACATTCGACTGGTGAACCCCCCTAACTTTTGCAAACAAGTCACAACTGGAAGTCTGTGGGTCGGACGTTTGTTCCAAGGTCCGATTTTTAGAACAATTATTCTTCACTTCTGTAACTTTGCCGGTCGTAAGGTCCGAGAACATCCGCGCCTACATCAGCCGCTCCTTTACGCGCCCCATGTGGCACGACATCTTGGGGAACCCCAGCATGCAGAAGGCCATTGTCATGGCGCAGGTTTGCCTCTACGTCGCAGCCCGCATGCACGCTGGGGGTACACGGGGGGGAGGGGGGGGATCTTAAACTGCGGGATCTGCCCCCAAAAAGAATCGCGGAATTCCTTTAGGTGTCGCTTCAAAACAGGCCCAAACATGTGACGGTTGTCAGCGGACGCCGTTTCGCCTGATCTTCGGAAACGGACGAAGGTTCCATTGACAAGGGCCCATTCGACATTTCAGGCAAGAATACTCCCCTGCAAGTCAGACGCAGGGTTCCCACCAACATGCGGCCTTCATAGTGAATCATGCTTGTTTCCGGGTAGGGGAAGCTGGGGAAGTCCATGAGGTTTCCTTGTTTGAAACACGGACAAGGATGAGGAGATTACTAAAAGGACGCTCCTGAGACTTGTTTTGGTTTCCCTGTTCTGTCTTTTTTGGGGGGGCGAGGTGCGTGCTAATCTGTAGGAAGGCAACCTGTGTAAAATCCTTGATCTTCAGGGCATGTCCTTTGTTCGAAAGATATATGGGGGTTGATCAATATTCCGTTCGGCCCCCTAATGACCATGGGCAGCTTGTCCCACGTGGGAAATATCTCATCATTTTTTTTGGTTTCCAACCAATGCTCATCCGATGTTTACTGGACTTTTTGATCAACCCCCATATACGTCCGGCTCGAAGCTTTGCGGATCAAGTCTTTGATTGGTTTCCATCGCCCCAAAACTTGCTGGAGCTCAGTAGGGAATGACAGAGTCCGGGTTTTGGATATGAACCCGAAGGGCATTCCAGAAAAACGGAACCCAAATCGAGGGCCGGGTTGAAAAACCCGGGCTCATTCCATTCCTCACTTCCCTGCCTATGGAACCAACCAGTTTCTAGGGCACCGGTGCCCGTTTCGACCCCTCCATCGCCCCAAGCTCGGCGCCGAGCGGCGCGAGCGGCGAGTCTCCGAGGCGGTGCTGGTGCCGTACCTCTCGGACCGGATCTTGGGCCTGCGGGGGCTGGAGATTGGCCCGGGCCTCGGGGTCTCGAGAGGAGAGTTGCAACTCCCCGCAGGTGGAGCAGTTGGGTGGGTCGGATTGCCTCCTCTTTTTTTTTGGGGGGGGTTCCCTCCCCCCACATGTTTTTGGTGGTGGTTTTTAAAGGAAGCCAAAAAAAGAAAAACAACGTGTTCTTCTTCTTCTTCTTCTTCTTCTTCTTCTTCTTCTTCTTCTTCTTCCTTTTTTGGGCTTGGTTTGAGGGGGGGGTTCTTAAAACAGGAGTTTCGCTTCCGTATTCGCGGCTGTGGGTCTTTTTTGGCGGGGGTTGTTTTTGTTGGGGGTGGTTGAAACTGGATCAGGATACATGAATGTAAGTTTCTGCTTTTTGAGTGAGCCCTTTTTCGGTGGACAAAAGGACACTCCTCCATTTTGATTTGGGGTTAGGGCGTAGCTTCCCACAAAAAAGCTCTCAGCCGGTGTGGGGCAGCCTCTGGGCACCCTTTCCACACCCCTGTCGTCTTTATTGCCCAACACAACAGGATACAAGTGTGCTGTTTCACACACACACACAGCGCCAAAAGAGGAGACCAACCATTGGGATGGTATTTCTATTCTTGTTTTTGGGGTCGCGTGCCGATGGTTTCGCGCTCTCCCTTTCCCTGACCAAAACAGGCAAAATGCTTTGGGCACCCATATATATATATATATGCATAGTCAATGCATATATAGTGTATCTTTAAACATGCTATATCATTGATGCATTCATTCACAAACGCATCGTGGTGGGATTCCCAACCCGCCATTTCTGAACCCACCGAAACCACCGCGTTGCCGGGGTTTGTGGGGGATTTTTGCGTTTTTCTTGAGGCGTCTTCGGTTGGGCGCTGGCGCTGGCAGGGCCGGTGGGGTGCTTCGTCCTTAGCGAGTCCTGCAAGCTGATCAGCGGCTCGGCATGGGAAGGCTGAATTTCTCTGGGTGAATCATAATGTTAACCCCAGATTAATAAACCCCTGGTTGATTAATAGGGGGGTGTCCCCTTTTAGGGGGGATTCATCACTTCTGGAGGGAACACCCCCGTAATAATGGGACTGGTTTACGAATCCTGGGTCAACATTACCGACCTCACACAACCGAATTCATCCCAAATGGTGGTTTACGTGGGGAATAGCTGCCCAACCACCGCAAGTTTCAGGTTGGTGAAGTATCATAATTCACCCACACCTCTAATGACTTCTTGGAAAGCGAGCTTGCAGGTAAAGGCAACCCCGGATTAATACACCCCGGCTATCAATATGGGGGTGTCCATGGTTTTGTGGGGGGTTCATCACCATTGGAGGTAAACACCCCCTATTTATGGGACGGGTCATGAGAAGGGAGCTAAATAGCACATACCACCCTGCATATTGACATGGGTTGCGCAAAAGGGGGGGTTCCAAAAAAGGAGATTCCTCTACAAATGAGGCTTTGTTCTTTACGGCTGTTTTCCATTCGACTCACAAAACGTAGGACACTTTTTGCAGAGGGGTCAACAGTGGGGTCAACAGCAACCAAGACAAGTTTGAACATGTTTGTCGTCTTTCGGTTTGTTGGGCGACACTGAAATGGCCCAACCCGAGATGATGTTTACCGGGGATGAACCACTATGGCGGTGAAGAGCGGGGGGGGCTCCCCCCCAAAAAAAACGCGCTCGAAATGGGATCCTCCCTGTCAGTAAGCCGAGGGGTGTATCGCTGGGTTTGCATTGAGCCGCTTAGTCGTGGACCCCAAGGGCCACGATGACGCCCACCAACACCAGCTGAGGTGCTTACCAGGCCCGCAAGTACCAGGACCTGGGGCTTGGTTTCATTTGGTTTCAGTGGCAGAGAGGGAGTGGGGCTGGCCTTGTTCTGAGGGTTTCTGCACCTGTCGGGACATTTCCGCGGCGGTTGTTTTAACGATTCATGGATTTTGCGTAAGAGAATCCCCGGTTCCTAGGATGAAACTTGGGACACGGAACACCTCACCCAATGCCAGGTGATGTAGAGGCTCCAAATCCTAAGGCAGGCCCCATTCTCATTACTCCCCAAGCCAACGAAGGGACCAATCCTTCTAAGGCAGGCCCCATTCTCATTGCTCCCGAAGGGACCGACACAGGGATCCCCCCCAAGAGAAGCTTCCTCCAAAAGTCACGGCCTTTGGGGTGGGTGCCAAGCATCCCAGCTTGCTGAACGCGCGCCCAAAGGGAATGGGATCCCGGAATCCGAAGTGTCTTTAGGCCCTGGTGCTCCTAAAACGGTTTCCTTTGCCCCCACGCCACGCCCACACAAAATGGGTGGGGGCGCTACAGGGAGAGATGCCAAATGTTTCCACTTGAGGGTAGTTATCGAAATGACCTGAAGTGACTTGCTGGTTCTCAGCAGGGAATGAGGGAATGACCCTATACGCCATCCCCTATCGTTTCCTTTAAGGGACACCCCTTCCGGTTCATTCCCACCTATGGCACCAGCAATTAAAAAAAGGGTTCCCGTAAGGTTGACCTACTGTGGATGGGCGAAATCCATTTCGCACCACTTTGAAACCATGCTTGAAACCAGTATTTGTTGGTATTTACGTCGGGGAATCGAATCAGAAACCGTTGGGTTTCTGAACAAAGGTGCCTAAGAGGATGTCGCAACCATCCATATTTCCAGGTGGCAAGCCACTCACAGGACTCGCTGGCGATGGACGATTCCAAGCCACAACTCCCGCTGACTGCCAGGAAGGTGCGCCGGTGGCCGGCTTGGTGATTGAAACCGGTTCCCCCCTGGATATGTTTTTTGCGCTTCGTGGGGGTTCTGCATGCTAATACAGGCTGCAAGTTTGGGTGAGCACTCAGCCAAAGTACTCGCCGACTTGGATCCCAATCGGTGTAAAACAGCGGACTCTGGGATGTATCCTTCTACCTAATCCCTGCTCAGCTCACTCTTTGGGTGGGAAACCAAACGGAAGCCGAAGCCAACTTTGTCGAACACCCCCCCCAACAGCCACACATGACATGGCAGCTGCCCCTGCATGAAAGACGACTTGTTTGTCGTCTTCCAAAGGGCGCAACTGCGTTTTCCTTTTACCCCTCATATTCCTCTTTGTTCAACCACTGAGCTGCTTGCCAGAAGTCTGGGCCGAGCTCAAATCAGCGTTGAAGGGGGGTAGTTCCCTGGAACTTCCTGCATTCCATGTTGGCCAAGACTCGCCTTCTCACTCACCCTGAAGGGGGGGGAACATATTTGGGACAGTGGCCGCCGTACAACAGGAGCAAATCTTCGCCTCTTTGGTACAATTGGTTTTTCGGTCGGCCAGTGGGAATGAATGTTGCGGGCATGGGTGCCAGGATCCTCGCTGGCTAAAGCCTGGTACCGGGCGAAGCTAAATGGTGCCAAAGCGTGTCGAGTGGATTTAGTTTGCCTTTTGGTTTCATTTAGCAGCAGTCTTTAGATTTCTCCTTGTTCATCGGTTTGAACAATCACCTTTGAGTTCTCTTGAGTGGGGTGGTTTGTAAGGGGAAATGTGTCCTTCTCAATGGCTTCAAACCACAGCCTTGTTCTGTCTCGATTTGAGGTGCAGGGATTGCCGACTTCGTGACAGACGGGTCTATTTTCCACAATCTGTCTAATCCGTGTTGGCGTGTTTTTGTCGTCCAGGTGTGTCCCACCCTTGTTTGTTAATTACGTCTCATGGAAATCCACCGGGTCTTGAGATGACTGAAAATATCCGAGTATTCTGGCTGGCCAGCCGTTGGAGTGCCCTTTTGCCAGTTGGTTACCCAGTTCTTGCGCCGGTTGGTTGGTGTTGTGTCTGTGTTTTGGTGTTTGGTGGGTTTTATTTGGTTGGTCTTTGGTTGTGTTTGTTTCTCCGTTGCTTTTGCTGGCGGTGTTCACGCGGCGGCGTTTTCTCGGACATGTCCCCCCCAGCCAGGCCGCCGCGCTGTCGTCGCTCGGCTGAGGTGGAGCCTTTGGGGTGCTAGGTCCCCCAGCCCCTTTACCCTTTTTTGGGGGAGGGTTCCCCCACTAAAATACACTACAGCAAAAAAGGGTACACTTATTCTAACCTCTCTGGAGGACCTAGCGGGGTGTTGTTCAGATTTTAGAGACTCTTCTTTGGCTGCCGTTTTTTTTTGAGTAAGTCCCCCCTCATTTGTTCACCTTTCGTGCCGAGTTGAAGAGAGCCCTCCTGTTGTCCATGTTGTTCAAGGATCACTTTGCCAACTTTCGGTGAGCCCTTTGGGGTGGTGTGCACCAGTCCCGGCGGCACCCTCTGTTTCCTTTTGCAAAGGGTTTTATTTGAACATCATCCAAAGGGGGCGCTTGTTTCTCAGGGCCACTGGGGAGGTTTCACGAGAGTCCGCCCGCGGTCTCAATCAAGACCTAGAGTCTTTCATACCCCAAATAGCAGGTCCCTTGTGGGGTTAGCGTGGTGATGGCACCTTGGGAAGAACCGGGTACTTGCTGCCTTTGAACCGAACATGGCTGGCTTCCTTGTTGGAATTCCTTCAAATACCGCAGGAAAATCATTTTTAGAAACTCCCATACCCACAAGTGGAGGGACAAAATCCATTTCACACCAATTGAAAAGTGGTTCATCCCAATACATCCCCGGGCTTCACGTATCCCAAGTGCGGCATTTTGCCCACCAGTAGCCAACGCGCTCCGCGCTCGGTCCCAGGAAAGCGCCGGCCGTGGAGCAGAAAACGAAGAAGATGCTTTGCTGCATGCCGGGCCGCTGCGTCTCCCGGCCGCAAGTCAACGTTTCCAACGAAGGAGCGCACAACTCGCAAGGGGAGTGTGTCATGTCGACCTGGAGAGCAGGTTGTGTTTAGCATCAAGCACCTCTTCCTGCTACTTTTGGGCGTCAAGAACTGGTATCTGAAATGTAGGTCCACCAAAAGGAAACACACGCCGTGCGATTTTATGTAAGGGATTTTAACAACTCAGACCTGGAGCCTATGAAATCTCATTTTTGGACCCCCCCCCACCACCAAAAAATAGCAATGAAATTGTTAGTCCATGCCCCTGTCAGGGCCGCAATTACTCTGTGTTTGGAGGAAACTTGTGGAGGGGCCTTGGGGTGGGGGTAAGGGGTGTGATTCGGGGTGGTGGGGAGTGGCGGCGGGTTACCAGCATGTTTCTCCCTTCCCAAGTGCTCAACTTTGCACTTTTGGGAAGGCAATTTTCTTGGCAAACCAACAGTTTGGGACTTGTTCTGCCAAATCCACGGCGACGGCGAGTTTTAGTGTTGCTTACTGCAAATTATATGCTTTGCGAACATACCAAATCTTGTTCCTGAGGAGATTCATGAAAGCATAGCAACCTTATCCGCCAAGTCAGGGTTGACTCACTGGTCAATTTACTGGAAGCATTTCAACTGTTCATTTAGTTGTCTTCATTTAAAATTTGTTGACCGGTACCAGCATCAAAGGTGTAAACGCAAGGGTTTTGCACCAGGACCATTGTTTTGTTGGGGTTCTTGACTTCATGTATGTGTGTGTGTGTAGACGTGCGTGCGTGTTGTGAGGGTAACCTTTTTCGCGGGTTTCCGGGCGAACCAAAAAGAACCTCATTTGTTGGGGGTCCACTCCCCTACCCATGTTGACATCGCACAGGCGGCCTTCCTGTTTTGCCGAGGCATGGCTGTGAGTTCTGAGCGTCGTGGAGCTCAAGCGTCGAAAGGGCCGACCGCCACGGCAAAAGCTGTGAGCGACCGTCGGAGGGTTTCCAGTGAGGCACCTGGCGATCTCGAGAACTTTTCTCCAACTTTCTGCCGGTTAGGATCGCAAGAATGGGGATTTTCCTTTGGGCTTCCCAACTAAAGCATGCCTACACAGCTACCCTCAAAGCGCATCAAAAGGCCTTAGTTAGGTTATGAGTTTTCGCGTGTTTTCTGACGGCTTTCTTGTTTTGGGTACGGGGTGTGTTGGGATGAAAGGGGAAGGAATGTGAAGCTTCACACAGGGGTTCCATTTTTTACGCAACACTCTGATTGAGCCGAGAGGATTTCACTCGCCCATAGATGTTGTTTGAAAGGCCAACGGACCTGGTGGATGACCTCCGCCCGTTCCCCTTTGCCATTCAATCATTTGGCTGTGGGTCAAAACCAATGGTACCATTTTGGGGTAGGGGCACCACCCATGTTAGAACCTAATTTAGTGGGGATTGGGATGTTCACTGGGGGTACGGGCTTTTGACCGATGACCATTTTGTACTCTTCAATCCACTCATGAGATTTGACATCCCTCCAACTTCTACATGATGTGATTCACGCATTTGGCGCCAGCGTGCCGGCCTGGTGAGGTCTGGCTGATGGACAAAGTACCTTCGGTTGAGAGATCCTGCGCGGTTCAAACCGCGCTGTTGAACTGCGGCCAACTGCTAATCAAACTTGGCCAATTCCCCTTTTTCCGCTTGGGTTGCTGGAAGCTGAGCGAGTGGCAACAACCCAGACATGCTTGAACATTGGGTTGCCAAAGTTTGCAACCAGTCCTTTCGCCGTGATCGCTCACTTCAGCAACCCTTCGAGGAGTTGCTCTCCGGGAGGCCTTCAAAAATCTGCGCCACCGGAAACGTCGCCTCCTCATGACTTTTATCGCGCGCGACCCGATGCCGTTGGTGGCCTGGAGGGCGCCCCCTGCTTTCAGGAGTTCTGGCGGTGCGGTTTCGATGGAACCCGGGACACTGGCAGAGCGAAAACTCCCGCGCTTCCCTCTGAAACGGGACAGCCCTCTTGATACTATCAAAGTCAGAAAGTCAGAAGCCATTCATACTGATTTCCCTTTAACCTACTTGCGGTGTGACTTTCAACAACAACTGAGGCTCGCTCGCAAAGCCTGTAAATCACATGAAGCCAAAGCAGACCCTCAGGGGTGATGTTGATTTTAGTTGCAGTACTCAGAACAACAAGCCCACAAACACACAAGCACACAAACACACAAACAGACAAGCAGACCAACAAACAAACAAACAAACAAACAAACAAACAAACAAGCAAACAAACAAAGAACAAACAATCACAAAAAGCAATGAAACAAACTAACAGTACTAACATGCAAACACCAACAAACTCACACAAGCAAACAATCAATCCAATAAACACGCACACCCGAAAACCGCAAAACACAACCAAGCAAACGAACAAACAAACAAACAAGCAAACAAGCAAAGAAACAAACAGCAACAAACAAACAAACAAACAAACAAACAAACAACCAACCAACCAAACAAACAAACAAACAAACAAACAAACAACAACAACAACCAAACTAACAAACAGACAAACAAACAACAACAACAACCAAACTAACAAACAAACAACAATCAAGCAAACACACATTCAAACAAGCAAAACAAGCAAACAACCACGCAAACAAGCGACCAACCAAGCAAGCAAGCAAGAAAGCAAGCAAAGCAAAGCAAAGCAAAGCAAAGCAAAGCAAGCAAGCAAGCAAGCAATGACACAACCAGACAGACAGACAAACAGACAAGCACAAGCCTGGAAACAACCAGCCAGCCAACCAAACACACACACACACACACACGCACAGACACTCGCACAAACATGCAAACAATCAAACACAACATTCCAAAAAACACGCAATTCAATCAATCAAACAATTAAACAATCAATCAAGCAAACAAACGCAAAACAACACGGAAACACGAAACTGAAACAATCAACCAAGCAAGCAAGCAAGCAAGCAAGCAATTGAACAGACACAGAACGAAGCAACCACAAAGCAAACAATCAAACAAACAAACAAACAAACAAACACACAAACACACAAGCAACCAATCAAAGAACAAGCCAAACTAGCAAACCAAGCACAACGAACACAAACACACACACACACACACAAACACACAAACAAAAACAAACAAACAAACAAACAAAGACAAATCATCAATCAAACAAGCAAGCAAGCAACCTAGGAAGGAAGCCAGCATGCCAGCAAGCAAGCAAAACCAGGCAAGCAAAGCCAACAAGCACACAAACAAACAATTTATGCAATTCAATTGAACACACACAGAAACAAACACAAACAAGCAAACAAAGAAGCAGGCATGTGGGGAGGGTACCGCCTGGAGGGTGCTTGGCTGCGGCAGATTCTGCTGGCCAAATGGTTCAAAGTTGTGTGCTAGAATTCTGACTGAATCTGGTACTTTTGTGCCCCAAAGGAATCTTTGATGCTTTCGTCTCGGCAGGTCCATGACCTTATCACGGTTGTTGTTGGGAAACATTTTACATTGTTGCTTATTGTGGTTTAGTGGGAACTCCCCACCTAGCTGCTAAAATTTGGATTTTTGCTCCCCTTCCAACGTGAACCAAATCATCTCAAAAGGTAAAGCCCCAGAACCCGGCGAACTATGCCAACGAGGGCTTGGTTTGGATGCTGGTCTCCGGTTGACCTTTGGTATGTCAGTCTCGCGAATCCGCAAGGGGAAACAGCAACAGTTTGGCTTGTAGATTGATGCAGCATCGAGCTCAAAAGTTCTTCGGGTTTGACGCTCCTGGCTTGTTGTTTTTTTGGGTGGGGTGCCCCAGCACACAGTAGGCTTTGGCGGGTGGTTCCCCACGAGCCAGAGACCTGTTAAGTTTCCATTATTGGTAAAGTGGGAGATCGTACCAAGGGGTTGATATGGATGGGGCGCCCCAATTGTGGGAGTGCAGAACGAGTGCTAAAACTGTGCTAGAGGAGTGCCAACAGACAGCATTATTCATGTTGATTTCCTGAATGCCAGTTGGAACACAAGACAACTCAGAGATTGACATTGAAACCAACTTCGGCCGCCAGAGCAGTTTCCATCAGATTTGTTCATGTGACCGTGGGCTGTTTGTCATAAGTGCTTCTTCGCGCCTTAGGGCGCGAGCGGTCGGAGCCGCAGCCCAAGGCACATGGAAACCCATCATTTTCGCAGGGTTCACCCCGAGGGATTAAAAACGTGCGTGCGGCCACCGGTGGGTGCGGGGTTTTGGACGTTTGAACATCTAACAAATGTTCCAATGTGTTGCCGCGAAGCAGGTTTGCATTACCTTCTCTCAAACCACTACTTAAGACTTACGAGGGAACTGGATACATGTAGATTTATATCTCTATCTATATATATATATGTATGCCCTTTATGCGCTTCTGCGGTTGCGCAACTAGCGGTTTTATACCCCATCAATCCTTCGGGGTCGATTTTTTGGGGCGCCATGCGATTTTCCAGGCCGCTCAGCTTGACATGCTTACCCCCTCAATGCAATCGGGGGATGGGGACTGGGCCCCAGGAATTCGATCCGTGGTTCCATGTTCCCTTGAAGGCTAGACACATGGACTTGGGGGGTGATATCTCGAATGGGAGCCGATTCTCGGAATATCCAGAGAGTTGGCTGAGAAGTTTCCCTAGGGTTCAACCCCCACTAAAAAAATGGCTGAGCCAATTGGCATGACAACCCTTAGGATCCCCATTCTTTTTAGTGGTTCGAACTCCAGGGGATTGATTCCCGAACCCGAAAGTCTGACCAGATCCATCCGTATTCCCTTTGGCCTCTTGGTTTCAGAGCCTGGGAATTGCAATCGGGGCGTGTCGTGAGTCTGGGCTTCTGGTTCAGAGGCCCCCTCAGCCTCAATGTGAAACAGGCCCAAGGGACGTGCGCAGAATCGGCACACCCAAAGCTTGGTTCTGATTCTACTTGCTTGTTTTTACTTGCTTTGTTTTCTTTTAGCCATGTTTTGCCAACCCCAAGGGTGATCACAGGTGAATAGCGCGATGTCCTCAGGTAGGCCCAGTGTCACGCGAGTGTTGAGTAACCTTGTGACATGGGGATCGATCAATCTTCCTGGCCCCCAATTTGACCATACGGGCCAACAACACACATTTAGTGGTTGAAGTCTCGCATTTGTTTTTCTCCGTGGTGTTCGCCCATGGTCATCCCGATCACGGACCTTTGATCAACGCCCCACGTCTTCGAGCCGCGACGTTTGCCAAGACCCGGACTGCCTCGCGGGGCGGCGGGCCTGCGAGGGAAGAGCCAGCTGAAGCCGATGGCGGTGAAGACAGCGCGAAACGTGCGCCGCGCCGCGGACTTTTGGGAATGAATGTCCGAACTCCTGGATTGGGAAACCAATCCTGAGCTGGAAAACCGTCTTTCGGGTGGCCCGACATGGTTCCCAATTGATATGCCATGAAGCTTGTAGTGAGGGCCTTCCTCCAATAGTTTTCCACCGTAATTTCATTGGCGGGCATGCAGCCTTGAAGGCAAGAAGCCACATGTGCGCTGAACAGTTGCACATGCTCCATCCAGTGCAAGCCCAGCATCCATTTTGAGATCAGGCCGATGAATCATACTGTGGATGGTTGCGAAATCCATTTCGCACCACCTAAGATACCCCAGTTTCTGATGACTCCCCAACGTAAATACTAACAAACGTTATGGGCTTCAACCCTGGTTTCTTAGGTGGTGCGTTGCATGGATTTCGCAACCATCCACAGCATTTCACGCAGATACCCGGCACGGAAGCTCCAGAGAGCGAAGGAATTTGGTTTTGGATGCGCGTTTCGTGGCTTCCTCCTGACCTTCCTCCCATTCCCCTAGATCCCCCAGCAGTGCCCTTTTGCCCTTTTTTTGGGGAGGGTTCCGCTACTAAAATAGACTGCAGAAAAAAGGGTACCCTTTTTCTATCCTCTCTACTGGAGGACCTTGACCCCTGTTTCCCTTTTTTTTCTGGCACTCCTTGAGTACTCTTTGAGGAAACCCTACAAGTTGGATCCATCCCAGAAATGGGGGAAGGAGTACATTTTTGAGCACACGAGTTGGATCCATCCGCTCTTAACTAGAATGCGGGAAGGGTCTCCCTTCTCACTTCCTGAGTTCCTGGACTAAAAATCCTGTTGTTGCCAACAAGTTGGCCAACCCACTCGGGAAGTGAGCCTTGGGGAAGACACATGGCGCTTTACGCCACTTTGGACCTGCCGCCGCGCCGCAGCCGGCATGATGACTTGGCTCGACCGCTCTGCCGCGGGCCGCGCCAGGCGTGGGGAGCAGCTGAAAGCTGGGTTGGGGCAGCCTTCAGAGAGGGTTCCGGAGGTTCCGGATTCGGGGCTGTTGGGGATATCACCTGTTGTTTGGGTTTTCAAAAGGTTTCGTTCAAGTCGGGATCCAGAAATGAAACCCACTTGATGTGACTGTGTCGGGAGGACTCCTCAAGTTCTCTTCGCTTTCTCCAAGACAGGGCGCCCTCAATCCCTCAACTACCATTTGCCACCTGCTTTGCTTCATTTGGCTTCCGAAGGAATCCATCAGCAAACAACATATTGTTGTTTGGATGGGTGTTGCTTGGGGGTCTGAACCCCTGGTTCTGGTAGAAAAGAGAAACCCCTCCTTCAGCACCAAACCACTGGGCTCCCGAGCCGCTTTGACTCGACACCTGCCACAGGCGGAGCTGCAGTTCGAGTCTTTGGGCCTGAGGCGCGGACGCCTCGGCGGCGGGCCGGCGGGCCGAAGCCGCGGGCGGGCGGAGAGCAGTTTGTGACGTGGGAGCGGCGCCCGGTGTGCGGTTTTTCGGGGGTTTTCCTTTAAAATGATTCTGATATTGCTACTCTGTTGCCCAGGGGAGGGGATGCCCTTGTTTTCCCATGGCCACTGGGCATCTGAGGCTATTATCTCCGTGGGGGAATGTGCTTCCCCTGCAAGAATCAAACAACAAGCAAAATAGCACGTTTCTTTTTTCCTATGGCCACTGGGCTGAGGGATGGGCTGTTGCCTGTGAACCCTCCCGGCCTAAATCTGTTTCCCTCGTTGGTTGGTTTCAGAATCACTCTGTGGCGAGGCTAGGCAGAGAGGAAAGTGTGTTTTTGGGTGCTGTCGGCTTGGACATGTTGGATCAAATTCAATCAAGGAATCGGACCGCAGATTTTAGTCCGTGTTTCCATGTGTACCAGGGCAACCCATTTTAAGGACCTAGTGTTGATTCGCATCACGTGGGGAGTGAGGCGCTGTGACCCAAGGCTGCGATGTCCTCAGCGCGCCTGAAGTACCGCATCGTGAAGTGCACTTCCGAGGTGCGACCGGGCCGAACCGGGGCCCTTTTAAACCGAGATTCCAGCCTGGTTGGAGCCCATTTCAACTGTTCCACTTCTGTCCACGGTTTCACTTGCAAACCAGATACTGAAAAAGGCGCCTGTTGCCACAGCTGAAAGCCATAGCATAGCCATGGGGTTTTTGCCCGGAGGTCCGGAGTGGAACTGACAGCATTGCATTGGTCTAGTGGACATGGGCAGGACATTGGCGGATGTTGGGTCCAGTGGTTCCAAGTTGTCCCATGTGCTTGTTTGGGTGGTTTGTTCGGTTTGTTTGTTTGGTTTGTGTGGTTTGGTTTGCTTCAAGCAGGCTGAATACAAAGCAGAATCCGAAAGCGCTATAGTATTTGGTGTCAAAATGGCAATGGGGGGGTCTACAACTGCATCTTTTTTTCCATAGCTACACTAGGTCTTTTAGTAGTGCCCTTTTACCCTTTTTTGGGGGAGGGTTCCCCTACTAAAACAGACTACAGACAAAAATCGGGTACCCTTATTCTACCCTCTCTACTGGAGGACCTAGTACGGGTCCATCAGGACCAGTAAAGACCTCGCTCGGGGTGGGGCTTGCCGGCTTTCCTGCCTGGGAGGACCCCGAGTTCCCGGGCTCCGAGCTGCTGTCGCACTCGTCCCAGACCAAGGGCTGGCAGAGTGCCCGCTTCTGCGACTTCCCGCAGGACTGGGGGGAGCATGGAGCCGGGTGGGTGGGAGCATCGGGGGTTGGAGGTGCCCGTTGTTTCTGGTTGATCAGGGGTCCCTGGGTCCCCATATTTCTCTTTTGCCTTGTCCCCTCTTTTTAGGATGGGCTTCCCTTTAAAATCTAGCAACAAAAACAGGGTGCTCGTGTTTGCCGTTGTCGGACTGAGTGCTGCGGCTTGGTATGTGATGGGCCCGGGAAGTCCAGCTGCAGTTTGCAGGGCTGTGCGCTGCCCCTGTTTTCCAATTTGGGCGTGCCTTTTTTGAGGGTACCTTTTTTGAATTCGTTTGAAAGAAGACCGAACGGAAAGCAACCATTGGGAGGGGGGCGTTCCCCGCCCCATTTTGTTTGAGCCGTGTTTCCACAGGTGGTCAACCCCCAAAAAGGCCCCTTTTGCTCGGCATCCTGTGGAATTCGGTGACTTCAACACACCAGCGACCATGATGCCGGCGAGGCTTCCCTGTTTCCCCGGGCATTCTTTGCAAGGCTATGGTTGGCATCCTTTAGCCTCGAGCCGGGCACAAGGAGTCGCCAGTTGAGCTGTTGCAGCGTGTCCTGGCGCTGCCCCCTGCCCGTGAAGACGGGTTTTGGGATGCCGGGGCCGTTTCAGGTGGGAGGGAGCCTCGTTTGCGGGGCCTTCCAACCACTTTTCCCAGGGGAGCGTCAAAGAAAATATCAAACCTCAGGCTTCATGTCCGGTGTTGGGATATCTGAAGCTTGGGCCTTGGGTTCAGACCGCCCAGGAGATCGGGCTGCAGTTCGAGACGCCTGTGCACTTGCGGCAGGTGCGTTGCGGGCGAGGTTGAGGGCGCAACTGCGATCCGAGCCTGGAAAGCATAACCGAAGCAGGGGATAGACTCAGTTGCCTAAAGCATGCCCCAAAAGCTTAACCTTTATCTCTGGGTCTTTTGGGAATCCGAGTAGGGCCCAACGAGAGGGTCCAAGGGAGGTTGGATACGGCAAGATCTTCACCAGGGTAGCTGGCATCAATTGACTTTGCAAGGCAGAAAGGGACCTCCCGGATAAAGAACTGGAAGGGGTTGCGAACCAGGAATCAAGGCTTCTTGAGACGTCCAAAGACCGCGTTCGAGGTCCGAAGCCTTCCAGAGATCCTCTCCTTCCAATTCAGGGTCTAATGGCAGGGCATGGGCCGATTGTGGAGACAGCTCTGCGTGTGCGGCTTGTGTAGGTGGTGGCTGTGTTCTGGAGTTGGACATCCAGAAAGAAATCTGCGCGTAACGTTGCCTTGGATTGCGGCGGTGAATACATCAACGGGACGATGACTGGGACCTTTTAGATGATCTTGGTCCAACCTATTTGTTAAGGGTCTTTGAATGATCTAAACCTGCCAGTTCGGTTGGCCCTGTTGCGTGTCATGATATTTCCCACCCAAGCATCGCACCGCTTAAGGGGAAAACACCACTGCTTGAGTGGCTTGGCCGTATGAGTGTTTACCAAACGGTTTGGAGGTTTTCCTGGAGCTTTTTGCGATACTCATTGCCCCCAAAAAGAGTTCTTAAAACACAAGAACTGGTGCTGCCAACGCTGAGTTACTTTGGCACATCACGAGTGCTTCAGCACGCGGTGTGTCGCGCAGATGTCAGCGATTCAGGCTCAAGAATCAAGCTGTAGACGAAGCAACGGCAAGGAACATCAAATTACGATTTGCTTCCAAGGAAAAGGAATGGCACTCTTTCAGTTTGCGCCGATGAAACTGTGGCAAGAAAACGCTTACTTTCACAAAGGCTAGCTTCATTTATCTCAGGATGTGCATGCGTAGCATGCTAGCAGGGCCAACAAGCCATTTGGAATTGAACCTCTGGGGTTATTTTGGAGGATGCCTGCCTCAGTGAAGGGTTCCCTGCATAATTTTTGTAGGACAACTCCATGTGATCAGAGGTGCAGCTCCTCTGGGCAGGTTGCTTTTATTAACAGACCTCCCTAGCACAAAGAAATCCGCAAGGGAGCTTCATGGGTGAGCTCAGCAGATGAAAATGGCCATTGCGAGCTGAGCCGGGCGGGCTAGGGCGATGCTTAGCCCGCCCTTTTCGGAGGAGATTGCGCCCTGCCCCAAAATGTGCGCCAGATGTACTTGGTGATCCACATTCCTAGGATGCATTTCAATGGGCAAGTTACCAAATCGTCGCTACCTTAAGAGGATCCCTTTGTATCGCTGGTGGGCTATTTCCTTTGAGAAGCTCCTGCTCAGCACGGCAACCGACGACCTCGGCCGGGAATGAATTTCTGCAGGACTTGGTTTTCGGACCCACTGGGCTTCCAATTGCTAGAGGTTGAATATTTTGGGTCCAAGATGTCAGGCAACTTTGATCAAGATGTCAGGCAACTTTGATAAGCTAGATCTAGAGGTTATTTATTTTGGGTCCAAGATGTCAGGGAACTTTGATAATTCTTGGTTTGGAATGTTGGTTACATGCTTGCGCATTTGCAGCCCTTGCATGGGGCTAGCAGGGGAAACCGCACGCGGAACACCTCCAAACCAATCCAAGCCAAGAGGGAAGCTGAAGATGTTCAGCAGTGCCCTTCTTTTTTTTCCGAGTTTGTGTCGTCGTGACCATTTCCCTGAAAAACCCACTGGCAAATCAAGTGCGTGACGACCAATTCCATTTGTCCCCTTCAGCTTGTGTTGAGGGACACGCTCCCGTTGTCCAGTAACCTTGGTTAGAAAAAGTTAGCCCTTTTCGGGTTGTCTATTTCTAGGCCAACCCACTCCACACACACACAAGGAAAGGGACAAAGGTACTTGCACGTTGCTTGCGGACATCCACCTGTAGAAGCGATGTTTCTTTTTTGGTCGCGGCAACAAAGTCGAGTGGGTCAGAGCCTGCACGGCAGCGGCCTGTGTCTGACAGCGAGTCGAACGGTTTTGGCGTCCGTTTTGTTTTGCAGTGGTCCATGTCGTTGCCTAAGCAGATTTGGGTTGGTCTCTTTTTGAGGGTGCCTTTGTGCTGCTTCCATTTTGAAACAACCCGGCGACAGAAACAGTTCTGACGCCAACCATCTTGTTCCATTTTGAAGCGAACCCTTCCAGGTCCTTGGGGCAAATGTAGTCTGCTGGTTTCTTGGAAAGGTCACCCGCCTTGCCTCCTAGGGAACATCAAGCGCTGGCGAACTTGGTTTGGATGCCGAAGTGAGGCGGCACTTTTCTGTATCGTTGAATTGTGAGGTCGAGGGCAAGCCTGCCAACAGGTGAATAACCATACATATTTACCCTGCCGCCAATTGACATGGAACCTGACAGGGGGTCCCTCTAACAGCAAATGATCTAAACCAGGACCCCCCTGTCAGGTTCCATGTTGGTGGGAGGGTATAACGTGGTTCCATCCACCTCGATTTTCCCTTTTGAATCCCGGGGCCTGGAGTCAGGTAAGGATTGCTGGTTGCCCTCGGCCACTTTCTGCCTCTGTGATTTGCTCAGCCCACCTCCAGGTAGGGGTTGGTTTCCCACGAGCTTCCCCCTGTTTTGTTTTGGGAAGGCCAGATCTGCTCAGCCCAGAGGTCCAGTTCTGCCCCGAGCGCTTCGACTTTCCGGGCAGGGTGCAGGCGGGCGTCGGTGTCGAGTTTCGTGGGGGGCGGTTTGTTACCGAAGCTGCCCACTGAGCGGGTGCGCGCGCGTACCTGCTTTTCGTTGAGGGTGCCTTCTTTGCGCAATTAATAAGAAAAACACACACACGCATATATAATATATATATAATATGTATGTGTATATATATATATATATATGTTGAAAGGACATCCAAGAGTAAACCCACTTCAGCGCTCGCCCCCCACATCCCCCCCACCCCCAAATTATCACGGACATGAAAGGGGCAAGGGGACCAATGAATTTCCGCCTTTCATTATTTCCTTGCAAGCTGCCCCTTGCGAGACAGGTGCCCTGTGGCACTTCGTTGCCTTCGGGAGGTGTCTCTTCAACTGCACCACCACTTGGTGGTTCCCAGGCATCCCCTCAAACTTTTAGGTGTTTAGGGCTTGGTGGGTGTTTCCATTTAGCCCACTAGGAGTTAAACATTTGGGACCTTCCGACCCCCATTTTGGTGAGTAACCTGTTTGCGTCATACCCAAGCCAACCATAGGATCCGCGTGGGAATTAAGCACAGGTGGCAAAGCCCAATATCAAATCCAAGGTTCGGGTGGAGCCGCAGCCAGACATGGATAGCAACCAGAACCGTTTCGTCCCGTAAGGAAACGCTCCGAAAGGCGGATGTTCAAATTTGGTCTTGGGTCTCGCTGCTTTGGTTTTCCCCGGATGCCGCTTTGCCCCCCCCCCCCCCCCCCCCGGCGTTTTTTGGGGGTCAACATGGTCAATCGCGCCAGGAACTTCTTCATCGAGACCTCGTGCAGGAGAGATGGATTTTTGTATGGCATGTGGCTGCCTTTCAAAGGGACCTATCGTGGGGCTTCAAAGGCCAGCAGAAGAATGGCTCGCTTTCGGGGGTCCTTAAACAGCCAAGTTTTGAGACCCCAAGCGCTGGGGTGTTGAATGGAAGTCTGGGTCTTCCATTGAAAGCCCCAGGAGCCGCTGGGGGAGGGAGCTTCCCTTGCCAGCGATTTTTCCCCCCATCACTATCACCGCAGCAGGCAACCAGCAATTGTTTATTTGGTTATTCAATGATTCAAGGGTGGTTCCCTTGGTTGCCTACACTGAAACGGCCTCACCAACTGTGGTTTTCCTTAAACTCCCAAATATTGGCTTTTCCTTAAATGTGGCTTCTTTTTGGTTTCCCTTTTAGTTTCCTCTTAAACCCAGCCCCAAAACACGGGCTCCCCACAAAGAAAGGAAGCACCACACCACACCTTGGGTCCGTTGGGTCCGTTGGATCCGACCCAACGGCTTCGGCCGCCTTGCGACCGCAGGACGCGGGTGAGTCGGTGCCTCTGGGCCAAGTGCATCTGCGCTTCGAGGGCCACCGCCCCAGGCTCCGGGCGCCCCTGGCGCCTCGGAGCGAGCCAGCGAGATCGGCGCGTTGCGGCCGGTCGGTTTGGGGTCGGGTGGATGGGGGGACGCGAGGCGGGTGGGTGGGGGTTTCCCGGAGGTGTTTCTTCTTTCTTTTTTGGCGAAGAGCTTCGGCTTTGGAATGTTCATTTCAGGCTCCCTCTGATAATTGGGGAGTTTGGGTCAATGTTCCCTTGGATGATGTTCCGCTACTGAGGGATTCGGATGACCCTATCCGACAGGCTAATTCCTTGGTCACAAAGAACATACGGAAGACCCCAAATAGTCGAAGGTTGCTACGGGTGTGCAGCCATTAGCCGCATAGAAGGCCCAGGCCATCGGCGGAATCAACTGGAGCCGCACGGGTTGATCCGATCACCCCTCCAAAAGAAGCAGTACTGAGAGGTCCTGCAGGTGCAATGGTTGGGAGGGAAATGGCTGGGAGATGTCAACTGTTTGCCGTGCTTGAAGGGGAGCGCAACATAAAGCACTGCGTTTTTACCCAGGCATTTCCACCAAACGCAAGCTTTCCCAATCCGTAGTCGTCACTGACCCTGGCAGCACTCACAAATACTTGGACGCTCGTGGTGGGTGGGTGCGTGTGGCTGTGTGTGTGTGTGTGGGTGTGTGGGTGTGTGTTTGTGTGTTGCTGCGTGTTGCTGCGTGTTGGTGCGTGTGTGTGTGTGTGTGTGGTGTGGGTGTGGGTGTGGGTGTGGGTGTGGGTGTGGGTGTGGGTGTGGGTGTGGGTGTGGGTGTGGGTGTGTGTGGTGTGTGTGTGTGTGTGTGTGTGTGTGTGTGTGTGTGTGTGTGTGTGTGTGTGTGTGTGTGTGTGTGTGTGTGTGTGTGTGTGTGTGTGTGTGTGTGTGTGTGTGTGTGTGTGTGTGTGTGTGTGTGTGTGTGTGTGTGTGTGTGTGTGTGTTTGTGTGTTTGTGTGTTTGTGTGTGTGTTTGTGTGTTTGTGTGTGTGTGTGTGTGGGCGTGTGCGCGTGTGCACGTGTGGGCGTGTGCGTGGGTGCGCGTGGGTGCGCGTGGGTGTGGGTGCGTGGGTGCGCGTGGGTGCGTGGGTGCGTGGGTGCGCGTGGGTGCGTGGGTGCGTGGGTGCGTGGGTGCGTGGGTGGGTGGGTGGGTGGGTGCGTGGGTGCGTGGGTGTGTGGGTGTGTGGGTGTGTGGGTGTGTGGGTGTGCGGGGTGTGTGGGTGTGTGTGGGTGTGTGTGTGTGTGTGGGTGTGTGTGGGTGTGTGTGGGTGTGTGTGTGTGTGTCGGTGTGTGTGGGTGTGTGGGTGTGTGTGGGCGTGTGGGTGTGTTTGTGTGTGTGTGTGGGTGCGTGCGTGCGTGCGTGCGTGCGTGGGTCGCTGGTGGGTGCGTGGTTGGGTGGGTGTGTGGGTGTGTGTGTGTGTGTTTCTGTGTGTTTCTGTGTGTTTCCGCGTGTTTGTGTGCCGCAGGCACCGCGCGATGTTTGTTTGTGCTGAATCCGTTGTCACCACTGGGCGGCTCGTGCGCCGCACGCGCTCTTGGAGCAAGATTTGTCCAAACCAGGCCCTAGGCCCCTTTCAAGGACACCACAAGGCCAGGCTTATCCAAAGCAGGTGTTCAATCAATCATTTCCAGCGTGTGCCCCCTTAAAAGTGACGGATGCCCTGCTTGAATGGGATACCCCCCGATCAACCAACTAGAGGTATTTGGGTTCCCCTTATGCAGACGTTAAAGCATCTTTGAAACAGCTCACTCACTTCCTCTATACTTTTTGGTAGGACCATTTCAGTGACCTGCGCAATTTGGACTTCTTTTAGCCAGTCCACTTTCCCCACCACCCCCTTCCACCTCCCCCTCAAGGCGAAGGATGGCCAGTTCGCAGAGCTGTACCTCCAGTTTTTGCGGGAGGTGGTTCGAGCGAACTTGGGCGAGGAGGCGCGGAACATTTTCGAGGGGATCTAGGGGTTTCAATTTTTAGAAGGACGGTCCCTTGATTAGTGGGGGTTGATCACTTATGTGATCCGGGGTTGGGGTGCCCCTATTGTCGGATATGAGGCTCAGGCAAAATGGCCAGTAGTCGATGGTTCATTTGGGAGGGTCATGGAGAAACCCGCCACGCCCCACAAAAGGGAAATGTCCCTTACCCTCCAGGGGCAAGAATGTAACAAACAATTTGTCACTCATGGGATTGCTACCTTGCCTCCATACCGCCACTTGGCTGAAAAGGCAATCTCCATCTCCAATCCTTGGTTGAGATTCCAGCTCAGACTTTGCGGATGGGTCTTCACACCACGGCTGATTCTCAAAATTACATCTAGAAATATTTTATCTCAAGTCGTGCCAGGGTGCCTCAGGCAAAAGACTTGTCCATACCACAGTGGGTTTTTGATGTTTGTTCTTGGTCTTGTTTTAGTTTAGCTCATGTTCAGTGGGGGTTGAGCGAAACAAACCTTGTTCTCAGTTGTTCAGTGGCACCCTTTTTCCCCCTTTTTTTGGTGGCTGCCCCACTAAAATTGGTCTTCCCCAAAAAGGGTTCCCATTTATTCCAGGGTGACTGAACAACTGAGTGTTTTGCTCACATACCCAGTGGCTCGCCTTTGTGCTGAGAGCCGGATGTACCCGGTTAACGTTCAGTGGCACACAATGGACGCCGTACTCAACCCCAAAAAGTCACGGGTAGGAGCATCCCTGGGATTGTCTTACGGAGTTCTGGGAGCTTTGGTGACAGGGTGTTTATGTAGATGGCGAGCCGTTGCCGGCAAGAGATGAAACCACTGGAGAAGGGGGGCCTTGCCAAGGGTCCCACCCCCCCCCCCCCAAACCCCAAACCCAAGCAAGGGCTCCTAGAAGATTTACCCTGAAAATCACGTGAAAGCCGTTGAAGCAGCTGGAGGTGCTTTCATCTTCCCCTCCAGGTCTCCCCCACCCCAAGCCCCAGCCCCTCCACACTCGGCCCCAGGCCTTGGTCTTCGAGCGCAGCCCCAACTTGCGGGTGCACTTGGCCGGCGAGAAGTCCTTGACGGCCCCGCACCGGGACAAGGACGGACGGCTCGCGACGGCCCAGGGGGGGGCTGCGTGTCTGCGTGTGACCAACGCCAGGGGTTGAAGAAGGTTGGGTCACATTCAACACCCGGGCAATGGACAGTCCCAGCCATAGATGGTTGCGGGCGCTTTTTCAGTTCGTTATATACCTCGTTCTGGGTTCACCATTTTCGTACCAGGCTTTGACTATTCTTCAGGTGACTTTTCTTGCTGGTGCGATAGGTAGGGAATGACCGAGTCCGGGTGTTGGGAATGAACCGGAAGGGGATTCCCTTCAAGGTAACCACAAGGGATTGTTTATAGGGGTCTTTCCCTCATTCCCTGCTGAGAACCAACAGGTTTTTCAAGACGCTTGGAAGCATGTCAATCAGGACAAACAAAAAGGTGTTTTTGTTTTTGTTCCTCCCCCTCAGCGAGCAACATTGGTGAATTGAAACAAGTGGTGTTGAGACCATGTATCAAAGGGTTGGGATACAGGAAAATCTGCAGGACATGGCCCAAAACACCGTAAATCGGCTGTTTTCCGGTAGACATTCCTGCAACCTAACCCTTTGGATGTATGTTGATTGGCCCCTTCAAGGCACCTTGCACCCACAGCGAGCCGCGAGGACCACCAGCACTCGGAGGCTGAGATCAACTGGTGGGTGCCACTCACCTGCTGCCAGGGCGAGGCAAGCCTTTGGGCCGAGTCGGTGGCTCGGACCCGAAGAGTCGAGTCGCGCGAGTGGCGCGCGAGTGGCGCGCGAGTGGCGCGCGCGTTTGGGGAGGGGGTCCTCAGCAGCTGGGGTTGAAGTGGTGGGCCGCGCGAGTCGGGCGATGAACCAAAACAAGAAGGCGAGGGCTGGTGGAGGGCTGGTGGAGGGCTGGTGAAGGTGGGAGGTTCATCCCAACCAAACCTTGTGACGCCCTGTGAACAAACTGAAGTTTTGTAAGGAGCCCTGCTACACTACAATCTTTAGACCGCCCCGAAAAGATAGAGACAGTTCATCGATTCACGGCAGGCTTGCAAGGGACAGGCATGGATCCTAAGGAAACCCGTTGGTTAGCCAGTGAACGGGTCGCCAAAACATGGAAAGTTCCCCCTCCCTTTCACTTCATTTTGATAAAGCTGCCCTGGCAGCAGGGCGTCCCTGGGAGGGTCACTGGGTGGTTCTGCAGTGGGAGCCAATGGATTAATCTGGCTGAAGTGCGCGCTGCCAATGACATGCGCACTGCCAACCAGAAATCACGCGGGGTGCAAGAGGCACGGTAACTGTTCGGGGCACGAGAGTCTCCCCATCCACATCAATTCAAGCGGACCCTTCCACCCTGACCCTCAAGGCAGTAAATGTTCCCGTACACCTCAATGCTGCCAACCCCGACCCAAACCTCCACGCAGCCCAACGGCAACCCCAACTCCCCAACCCAACTCCCGCATAAACTCCCCAACGCCCCAACTCCCACTTCCCTCCCCGGCCTCGATCGTCTCGAATCTAGGCACCGGGGAAGGGTGACTTCCACTCCTTCGACGTGCAGCCCGGCCAGGCGGTGCGATTCTACGGGAACCAATGCCTCCACTTCGCCAAGGAAACGAAGCGACCAGCGACCCGCGACGCGAGCTGCTTTCAGTGGGGTCGGCGAGCTTCGCGTCTCCCGGTTTAGGAAAGGCACAAAAAACGTGGGAGCGACCGAAACCACACAACGGCTCTTGGATCAAGCTGTTTTTGTTTTGTGTTTTGTCTTTTTCAGTTGGGAGGCTGCCAAAAACAGTGGCCTACGAAGCTCGAGGGATCGATTCGGCTGGTGGGATTTTCAGGGAGAAACGCCCCAACACCTCAAAAAGCTCTCGAACACTGGGAAGCCACACATAATTATGGCAACCTCTTCTTGGCGGCTGGTCTGGGGGGGGGGAGGTGGGTAGGGAGGTGACGTTTGAAGCACAAACCTGAAATCCCAGAGGGGACCAAAGTGTTGCTTTGGCGCGACGCCGGGAAGGCCTCTCAAACTCACCCAACACACTTGAAGACGAATGGTGGCTGCCTGGCATACCCACACTCTGCAAACTGGCATTGCGTGTGGGGGGGAGGGTTGAACCTTCAAGACCTACCTTTCTTGCAACCCATTGTCCTTGTTGTGAATAGCAACTACTATATGCTGAATTCCCCCCAAAGGAAGCCGAGAGGGAATGGATGTGATTCAACTTGTCCATGAGCAGAACATTTTGGCACGTTTCAAGGCCATCCGCAGGAGGCCAGTGGTGTGGCAACAAACCTTTATGTACTGTGCTTCTTTGTTCTTACAACGAACCGTTTTCTTTGTTTCTGTTCATTGTTAGGAGGGGCTGCCCAAGCAAAAACCAGACATCGCGTGTTGTTCTCGCGCGTTTAGTGTCTTGCAGGGAGATCCTTCTTAGGGCTGCAAACGACTAAAAACATCTGAAAGCCATAGCACTTGCTAAGGCGCGCCAAAGCATGGTTGCCGAACAGACGGTTTTAGGGCCACTTTCTCTGATACCGACCAAAATCCTCAGCAGAGTGACAGACCGGCTGTTCTGTGGCTCCTTGACATGCCTTGTTTGTCCCCACAAATGGTCAGTCCAAGAAACGGCTCCCTTGTTGCTTCAGGGCCACGAGGCAGTTGAGGAATGGCTTCTGAGTCCCAAGAACTAAACCTTGCGTTAGTTGAAGTCTACCCAACACCAATGGGGAAAGGATTGGCAAGACAACATGGACCACAGGGTAGCCCTACGTGGATGTTCAACCCACTTAGCTGATGGTAAAACTGGACCAACCCTCCAGTTTTCCCGGTTGCAAACATGGTTCATCCCACCTAAACCTTGTTCACTAAAGCCTACCCTGCTATGTTTTGGGTGCCCCTGAATATCAGTGGGCGCCTTTTTCGTTGCCTTGCTGAGTCAAGACCCTTTGGACGCAATGGCAGAGAGAGAGAGAGAAAGCCTACCCACGGGGAAGTAACATTCCCTTTGCCCGTGCCTGGCCTCGGGAAACGGGTCGCGCGACGTGAATTTTTCTCCGGGCTCTCCGGAGGACAATCGCACGGACGCGAGTCGCCTGTCCTTCGACTTCCGCGTGATCCGGCTTCGGGATCTGCACTGGTCACAGGTGCCCTTGTAGCTCGGCGGGGACAGGGAGGGATTTGTATCGGGCAGGGACCTGTGCAACAATTAATCTTAATCTTCATCTAAATCTTAATCTTAATGATTTATAGGCCATGAATGCTCGGAGGAAGATCCATGATTCATTTCCAGAGGCAAACCACCGCTGATTCGTAAAAGAGCTCCGGATGAATCCGAAGTTAACTTTTAAGGGGTCCCCAAAAGGAGCTTCCTTGAAACAATGGATGGGCTTTTGGGCTTCACATCTAGGCGCTAAATTGCACATGTTGTTTCTTAGTTTGCCCCTAAGTATTGGCTGCGTATTTCTTAGGGCTACCCTGGTATCAGTTTAGTATTGGCCTAGCATTGCTTGATGCTGCCGCACTACTGGTGTAGTTTGGGAAATTTATGCCGGGGAAAATCATTTTCCAATTGAGTGCCCTAAAACAAACATGCACACATATTGCTGTGTTTCAGGGCCTCGGCTGTACTCCCATGGAAAGTTGTTGGCGGGCTGTTGCCAAGATGGCTTAGACAGAACAAATGCAGTCTTGGTGCGTTCACTTGTTTCTCGGGTTCTGGACATTGCAGTAGAAGATGAATACCGCATTTCCTCGGCTGAAGGGCTGGGTTATTGAAGACATATGGGGAAGCTATGTTTCGTTTCGTTTGCAACAACTTTATTGTAGTGAGTTCCCCTTTCAATTTTTCATGAATGGGCTCATGTTGGGAAAACCTTTATGCATTTGGTACCCGTTGGTGAATCGGGTACCTATCGAATAGCGCCACATTTTGGAATTTTGAGGGTACACTTTCAGGCTAAGGGAACCAACAAAAACCCATCAATTTTGAGGGTTGCCCTATGTGTTACACACAAATATAACGTTGGTTGATTAGTTTGATCCTCTCCATCGTCCCCTGTGGGTCGCGGCGTCTCTTGCGTTACAATCTAGATGTCCTATCAGACGATGCAAAGCGACACTCCTGCTGGGTAGTTCGATTTGAGTGATGCCTTGATGCCTTCATGAGAAACTAGGACACTGCATGATCTTCTGAGAGGCTCAATGACTCAACGGTTGCCACTTTGATTTAACAGATTAAGTCTGGTTCTATAATCACTTACTCGCACCTGCCGGGTGCTTTGTTGCCCATCGTTTTTTCAATGTTTCCAAGAAGATGCCAAAAGCGAGTATGTATCTTCTCTTCTTTTCGGCATTCCCAATATGGGTGCGTCTTTGTCAAAGACCAAACATGTTGGTTGTCCTGTTTGTTTCCTTGTAAACCTCAAAATGGGGACCATCTAAGCAAGACAAACCCACTACGAAACCGGGAGCTGCCGTCGCTTTCCTTACAAAGACACTAGAGTTCTATGGATCCCCTATCCTCCCCCATGTTTTGCGGTTTTAGGGCGGTTTTTGTGGCTCACCATAACAGATGGAATCCTCCCTGAAAAAGAAACCGAGCAAGCGTGCGGGGATTCTCCTCATACCTGAACCCTCCAAAAGTACTGAAATTTCCGTACATGCAGCAAATAAACGTCAATGTACACTTTTAAGGAAATTTGACGGAATTCGTTTTAGCAGGCTGTGAGCGTTTGTGGTGCACATGGATGCACATGAACGCAGTTTGCAATTTACATGACCCGTCATACTTAATTCCGTTTCGGGTCATTCGTCTGCTATTGCTGTGGCCACCGACCCAAACCACCAACCAGAGGAAAGCTGATTAATGGGAACCTATATCTCACTTCCTGAGTTCCTGCACTTGATACTTGTTGAGTTTCTCCTCCTAGTTGGATGTGGCTCAAAATTAATCAGCTGGGGTTGCGCAGGTTTTGGTCCATGCTTCCACTTGCCAGGGTTCAGTGTTGGGCACCTTGTGTTTTTTGAGCCACAGCCAAATGTTTTTCTTTTGGCTTCCCTGGGATGAGAGGTCACTGCACGAAGCTCGGATTCCGAGGCCGGGCTCTGAGCGCAAGGCGCGGTGGATGCTCTTCTCCTACTACGACATCATGGGGCCCGTGTTCCGGCCGACGTGGTTTTCTTGCGGTCCGGGAGGGGGGGGTGCGAACAGGCATGTGTGTGTGTGTGTGTGTGTGTCTGTGTGTCCGTGTGTCTGTATGTCTGTGTGTCTGTGTGTCTGTGTGTCTGTGTGTCTGTGTGTCTGTGTGTGTGTGTGTGCGTCTGTGTGTCTGTGTGTCTGTGTGTCTGTGTGTCTGTGTGTCTGTGTGTCTGTGTGTCTCTGTGTGTCTCTGTGTGTCTCTGTGTGTCTGTGTGTCTGTGTGTGTGTGTGCTTGTCTGTGCGTGTGCGTGTGTCTGTGTCCAAAGATTTCATTCTAAATATGCAACAAAGCAATGCATGAATTTACCAAGAGGCAGTCGAAGACAGGGTTGTCGGGCCCGGAAAACCGAGATTTGAGGCTAAGAATGCCTGTTGGGCGCGGCGTCCTTTTAAACCACATGTTTGTGTCGTTGAGTTTGAGGGCTGTGGACCAACTGTGGCTTCCCATGTTTGGCAACCACTGGCTGGGCCAAAACTCGGGTTTTAGGGAAGGCTAAGCTATCTCCCCGCTATTCGCCATCACTTGGGCCCACTTTGGAGGTGTGTTCATCTTGGTGGGGTAGGGAAATGGGCATGAGTCATGCGGCAGGAGCTTTAACGGTGGGCACCTTGGTGGACATCATTTGCATGGTGATTTGTGAGGGTCTTCTTGTTTTTAAATTCATTTTCCAACTCAGTGCCGCCGCCTGGGCCAATTTTGACGGTGAGCGTTTCCTGGTGGGGGGGACAAATCGGCCAGTTTGCTCTCAAGGATGGGAGCATCCTGCGGGCAGACGCCTGGCCCAGCATGCTGCCGCTGCCCCTGGGAACGCAGCCGCCTTTACTGGGGGAGGCGCGGAGGGGCGCAGCGCGGCGGTGGAGATGGCTTGTGTGTTTTTGAGGGTACCCCTTTTTGGTGGTTGAAAGGGACACCAAAAAGGAAACGGCTGAATTTGTGGGGGTGGCACCCAGCCAAACGCTGCAACACCAAGAAAGTTGGAAGCCTTTGGAAGAAGCTCGGTAGGCCGCCCAGCATGTGCAACATGACCGTTAAGACAGGGGGCCCTTACTTTCTTTAAGCCGTAGCCTGGGTGCGAAGGGGTATTTTGCCGCTTTGTAGGGTTTGGCTCAGTGGCTTCTTTGGGTTGTGGAGTTGGCGAGCCCCGAAAAGAGCTGGGCGGCCGAGGCACGTTTAGAGGGTAAGCTCAGTGACCCCAAGGCGGTGATGGCCGCACTTTCGGCTCGGAGCGGTAGGGAACCGAGAACCCCTTACAAGGAATCTTTGGGGGTATCGTCATGAAGAAAAGGGGCTGCAAAGCATGCTTTCAGTGGGGTGGGGGGTACCTCCCTCAACTGCACCCTTCCCTGAGTTGCACCCTTCGAGGGTTTGGTTCCAGGAAAATCTTCAGGAAATGGCCCAACAGACCCCTCGACACAAGCTGTTTTCCTGTGGAATCTCCTGTAACCCAACCCATTTGAGCCCTCAATTTGTCCGCGCAGGCGCAGCTCGTCCAGTCCCCGGCCACGCGGTCGCCCTCCCCGGAGCACCAGCGCCGGTGCCTGGAGCGCTTCGGCTCGCTGCGGGAGGCGCGCAAGGCCTGCGCCCGCTGCGGGTACATGGCCAGCCGCGCCAGGCGGCTCGCCGGGAGCTGGGACGGGGGAGTGGGGCGGAGTATGCGGAATATGCAGGGTGAGCAGTGCCAGAGGGATTGCTGACTTGACATGCCGTGTCCAGGAATGAGGCGTTTTCGGATTTCAAGCAGGTTGTTGCGGGCCGGAGTCTGGCCCAAGAAGGGTGGTCGTCGGAACCCGTGGTTTAAAGGGAAATCAGGAGGAACCAGCCATCAGCCAGCCATTTTGGGCCCCCCATCTTAAAGCCACACGCAAGGGCCTAAGCTTCCGGGGTCGGAGTTGCCCCCAAGCCACGACCCCCAAGATGACAGATTTGGGCTTGAGGCTGACAAGGTAGGCATCGATGGTCCATTCTGAGCGGTGCCTTGCCCAGACCGAACTTGCTGCTGGCAGGTTGTTTCTGTTGAAAGGCCAGTCTTGGTTTCCCAAGGCTGGGACATGTATTTGAAGGTTGGGTGTTTCGGTGCCAGTTCCTTTTGAGTCAAACGCCTCACTGTCCCCGGCGTAGCATGAGAGGTTGCAGGTTATCACGTTTTTCGGCCGCATTTCTATGAATCCCTGGCGCCAGGGGTGGGTTTGTCCTCTTTGACTTCCAAAAAGTGATCCCACATTTCACCCAAGGGAGAAGCACCCCCCTATTTACAAACTGGGGTTGATTAGGGTGTGGGTCAAAATGAAATCACCAGGGGGCCGCAGGTTTTAGTCCCTGGTTCCATTTACCAGGACAACCCATTTCCTATTTTTGGCCCACAGCCATTTGAACATGCTCCGAATCACCCGGGAGCCCTTGGGGCGACCGAATGACGTGGGTTGTCTCACGGCGCTTCGGCCAACGAGACCGCAAAAGAAACAAGGAAAAGGGAACCCCCCCCCCCCCCAAAACACACAAAAAAAAAAACGGTGGATAGCCCAGTACAGGGGAGGGCTTGAAACACTCGATTTGCCTCAGTTCAACCCAGAGCCAGTTTTGGAGGGTCAACACGCGTGGGTTTGTCCTCTTTGACTTCCAAAAAGTGTTTCCACATTTCACAGCTGTCAATAAACTGGGGTTGATTCGGGTGTGGGTCAAAATTCATAGAAGACTATACTCCCCCCCCCCCCCAACGCTCCCCCCCAAAACGGCTAAGGGAAATGAGTTTCGGGCAAGAATCCATGACGCGCTGCCTGCCAAGCAAAAGTAAGCCATGAATAAGGATTTTTGGGGGGGCTGGTGTTCCCGAGTGGCAAAAATTACAAGGATGAAAGGATAGCCTAAATACGGGGTTGGTCGCTTGGATTGTTGGTCCAACCAGAGTGACTAGGTCGGGTTTGTTCTGTGTCTTTTTTCAGCGCTGACTCTGTCTATTTGCGCATACAAACATTGCATATATGCAGCAAAATCCTTATTTGGTGCTTATTGAAGCTTATTCGATGCTCATTTCTGCCAACGTTTGCATTTGGAGGCAAATTGCTGCATTCATACCTCACACACATGTGCGCGTGCTGGGGGCCAATTTGAGGGGGTTGCCTCGCCTAAGTCGATCTGGTTCATTATTGTTGAGCTGAAAAATATCATGGGTATAACCTGGCGGGCAAGCTCCCATACCCTTTGTCCAGATTTTTGAATCACGGCAAAACCCTACCAAAGCATTGCAAGAAGCCGGCTCAGCTTCATCAAGCATAATTGTAAACAAGGCTTATGTGAGCACTCCCAGGCCACATTGCCGCAAGAACCTGTGAAAAAAGCATCATGGAGCCAAATAACATCTAAATAAGGCTAATTTTCAAAAACCCAAAAGAAGCCACAAATAAACCTTATTTAAGGGCCAACGGTCAACCTTCGAAAATAACCCTTAAATAAGGCTTATTCATTGTCTATTTTATTTCCTGAAATTTACAAAACCTTAGCCATTTTGGGAGGGGGAGTATTGGGGGGGGGGTATAAGTTTCTATGAAAAATGAAATCTAGGGGGCCGCAGGTTTTAGTCACCCCCTATTGATAAACTAGGGCTTTTTGGGGTCAACACATTAAGTTCGGCCCAGCGTGGGTGTCCGAGTCTCTCAGTTTGCGGCGGCTCTGCTTCCTGGACGCCGGCGGCCAGCAGCGGCCCTGGCTGGCGGAGTCGTCGGCCGAAGCGGCGCCCTGGGGCCTGGGCTGCCGCCTCTGCGCCGCGGCGGCGGAGGCGCACGAAGCGGAGGCGGAGGAGAGAGGTGAGGCCGGGGGGAAGCGCCGGGCTGGGGGGAAATGCAGGGAAAAACCTGGGAGGTCGAACCCAGCTTGTCAGTTGTTTTGTGTTTCTTCAACTTTATGTGTGGGTTTGTTTGTGATTGTTTGTGTTGGCGAGTGCTGTGGCAAACATAGGTTTGGGTTGCAGAACTATGTCACTTCTCTCGGATTTGCCGTTTGGGGTACCTCCAGAAAGGGCTGTGATACCTGGTCACATCTCAGCCCTCTCGGCTTACCTCACTTCCGTGAAGTTGGCCTTTCTGACCATTCCTGCAAAGCACTAAACTAGGCTCTCCTCCCCTGCTAACAGCTTAACTTTTAGGCTAAATGGAGACCCCCGCTAAACTCTAAAAACTAAAAGGCTAAGGGGATGACTCAGAATGGCCAAGACGACAATGGGCCCGAAAACATGATTTGTTGCATTTTCTGTTTCTTTTTCTTTATTTCTATTTGAGGGGGGGCTGCAAAGAACAAGCCTATTTGCTGAGGTAGAGTTTGGAGAAGTGTTTTGTTCAACCCTTTTGATGAAGCATTAGTTTTGGCCTTGTAATCAATTGTTGTTCAAGCAACAGAGGGCAATAGCCACACGATGAGCGGCGTTAAAGTGGATGGTTCTATTTCCTGGGTAGTTTTTATAGAACAAGACCATGTTCAACAGCTTGACGCCAAACACGCACGGAGTTGACCTTCCAAGATTTGTGTTGCATGATCCCAAACGAAACACACATTTGTTTAAGGTGCTGTTGCGCGTTTCACGGCGCTGCGTACTTGAAAAGGTATTGTCCAAGATGCATCCTTAGGTCCATAGCCTTTTCACCCTATAGCCCGCTGGTTCTTTCATGGACCCCCCGATGCTCAAAAGGTATGTTCAGATATACCTTTGGTGGTTTCGATTTGGATTTGAACCTCTGGTTCTTGAGGATGAAAGAGAACACATCCCTGGACCCCAAGCCACCAAACCAAGCTAATTTTTTGGTAAGGTGATATGTTGGCTTGGGTCAAAGTTAACCCCTCGCACGTGCCCAGAAACTCCTGGAGGCAGCGAGACGGCGGTCCGTCTTTGCCAGCTTCAGCTTCGGGGTGATTCGGCGAGAGCGGACTTCGATTCGGGGTGTGGTTCGCCAGTCTTTTCCGAAGCTTCGCGACCTTTGCCCTTAAAATGACCTGTCAGTGCCACCCGAGGATGACCTTGAAAGTGTCCTTTGACTCTCCGCGGTGGCCTCAAAGAATCCCAAACTGCAAACGTTACACTGGTTTGATATGAACGGGTGTGTACTTCAGTGGCTAAAACGGCCCCTTGCGCACTCATTATCAAGCCGGCTGGGCAAAAGTCACTTGCACACCACTTTTGAGAAGAGTGTCAAACACGAAGGTCAGGTTTTCATTTTTTGGGCTCCAGTGAGACAACGAAAGGGCGCCCTGCATTTGGGCCTGGCACCTCCGCGCTCGCTCCATCCAGTCGAGTGGAAGGTGGGGATGCCGGGGCTCCTGCAGCAGCCCCTGGTGCGGCATGGCAACCACGCGCTGCGCCAGTTTCAGGGGGTGGGGGTGCCGAAGATCGTGGAGGAAGACGCGGAGCCGCCCGGCGCCACGAAGCGACGTTTTGAGAAGCTGGTGTTGAAAGGACTCGGCCCGCCAAGGGTGCCGGAAAACGTCAGATCAATGAATCTGGGGGTGGAAAACAGGGAGTTTCAGCGCCCAAGCGACAAAGGAGGCATGATGACACACTTTGGCACAGAAAGGGCTATTCCCTCCTGGAACCCCGAAAGGCTTCTTTTGTCAGAAAGGCGTATTTGAATCGTTCTTTACCCGTAAGGTTACTTTTTCGGTGATTTGCCTTAGTTGCCCGTATTTGGCCGTATGAAACCCGTAGTTTCTCGATGAAGTATTGAAACGCGAAGAGAAACATATTTGGCCATATGACCATTCTATTCGGGCAAAGCCTTTTGACAAAATCAAAGTGTTTTGGGGCTCCAGGCTCCAATCCATAGATTAAAAGGCAAGAACAGGGTTTGCTGATATTTATTTTGCAGGGTTCATCTCTCTTCAGCTCTAAGTGAGTTTCCGTGGACCCTTACTCAGTGGATTTGCCACTCTTTTGTGATTTGGGGTTGGGTTCTACAAAGCGTTCTTTAATCATCAGGCTCAGTTTCCAAATCAGCCAACTGCGTGCCTGTGTTTCCCACAAGAACAAGTAGGCAAGCACTGGTTCCCTTCTGTCTTGGGTTCTCAGCATGACTTTTGGGGCGTCGGTTTCCGTTTTACCTCCTAGAGGGTCATTTTGATGATGCAAAACGAGGGTCAGGTGTTCGGTGGATTCTTCCATTCACTTAAGAATGTATTGCATTTTCCCTTGTTGGTTTTTGAGGGAACCTATCACTACTGGGTATATCTTCTCATTTTTCCCGGCCGCTTAAGCAAATGGAAAGGATTCCATGCGTATCCCTTCTGTGTTTTGGGTGAGTACCAGGTTCCCCTTATGAGTGGTTTGGATTGGTTAGGGATGGGGATTTAAATTCCAGCCTTTTGGTTCCCCTGATTTGGCAACCATTTTTAGTAAAGGTGCCAAACGGTGATCACCTTTTCCCTAGGGTTCAACCCCCACCAAAAGAATGGTTGAACCAATTTGCATGAAAATCCTTAGGTAGAATACTGTGCTGATATGCACTCCTTGTTTTCATGGTGGTTTGAACCAGGTTTTAGTTCTAGGCCCCATCCGGGGCAAGTGAGGAGAAGCTTGGGAGGAAGCTGATTGGGACTGGCCTCATTACTTTACCATGATCAAAGTCACCCCCTAAGTGGTGGGTTAAAGGGAACAACCCCCATTTCTGACTTTGATACCCCCCCAGAAACAATTTAAACAAAAATGACACCAGTGGGAGCTCAGCTCAGGCACGCGGCGGCTCAGGCAGCGGTGCTGCAAGGACGCCTCGTGGTGAGTGCGGAAGAAGAAAAGAGCAAACAACGAGTGACGCGGAGCTTCGGGGGTCCGTGGGGGTCGGTTTTCATGTCAGTTTTTTGGGGTGGGTGTTGGGGTTTCGGGGTTTTGGGGTGGGAAGGGGTTGGTTCCTTCGCACCTTCTCTGCCAACGAGCCGTTTCTGGAAACAGAGAATCAGCGAGTTGGAAGGTCGGAAGTGGGCCATGAGATTCAGGCGTAACTTCCTTGGAGAAGACCTGGCCTAGTGGATTCCAAACTGGGCTTGTCTGTCAGCCAATGGAACAGGGCGCCGTTTTGTTTTTGGCCCCCACCTTTGGGCGAGCCTCGGGACATGTTGAAGCTCAACCTGCTGAGTCCCAATTGGTTTCCTTGGTTCGCTCCCTGGCGATTCGGGGGGCGAGGGCTCTAGAAATTGGGGGCTTCCATCCAGGCGATTCGGCAGAATAGGAAGCCCAAAAGTTTGAGGAGGTTGAACCAGCGATTGGTCCCGGCAAGCCCTGTGAGTAAACAAAGCTTTAGGATTCTTAGTGAGCCCCCTCAAAAGAAACACCTCATGTGGTGTTCCCTTTGGTTTCCCTTTGAAGCCACAAACAAGGGGCAACCAACTCGAAAACAACAAATGGGACGGGCCGCCCATTCGGAGGACACCTTGAAGGTGAGGGTTGGGAACAGCTTCCCGCGATAATGGAGCAACATTGGGGCCGCAACTGCATGTGTCACATATGGTAGACCCCCTCAATGAACGTGTTTGCCATCGTAGTTGAAGGAACCTTGCGGATCTGCCATTGTCGGATTCTTGATTTCTACTCTGAAGTGGAAGCAACCCATGGCTTTTCCGGAGAATTCAACTGCACGAATTCTGGTGAATTTCTTGGCGAATGCTTCCACTGATCGGCGGGGGTGGGGGGCAAAAAGGCGAAGGCTATGATGTATAGGTCCTTTGTCTTGGGACTCCATTTCTAATTTCAGGTTTTACGGAACTCTTGTAGGCAAATATAAATTCGAGCTGTGGGGGATGGACATCCAGGGAACTCTGCCGTTTGCTTTTTCGAGAAATGCTTTTGTAGCCTGGACGTTTAGAAATATCTGCAATACTTCTGCGGCACTCAGGTGCTGTCTGATGCCGAACACTCGCTCGCCAGGTTCAGTTCCTGTCCCACCAGAGCAAGCCGCTCGGCAAGGCTTGCCCTCAGGTTTCTCCTTGTGGCGATTCCGGCCCCACGGGAGGGTTGCCTCCAATTTCCCGGTTTGGAACTTCTAAAAGTTGTGGTTTCAACGGAAACCACCAGTCAAACGGTCCCGCTGTTCGATTTATAATGGATGAATAACATACTTAAAGCATCGTTCTGTCTTGTTCTGTAGTTGATCCCTGCAATTCTTCCAGGGCAATGAATATTATTCAGTTGTGGCATTGTGTTGCTGTTGATAGTCGCCACCACTTTTTCCGCGACATAGACCGGTGAGCTGAGGATAGCGACAAAGATTGATCTCTACACAGCTCTTCCCGCTTCAGGCGGGTCCCAGAGGTCTTCAGGGAGTTGTTTCTCATGTCTCGCCTGAGGAGAGAGAGCTCCGGGGCACAGAGTTGGACTTTAATTGTTGGGAAGGCTAGTTCTTTTGTTTGCCAGACATCCATTTGCTCAAGAATAGTGTTTATTTTCCCTTGCTGGTTTCAATGGGAACCTATCACTACTGGACATTAATTATTTTTCCGCGGGGCTCAAGCAAATGGAAGGAACACGTTCAGCGTGTGTCTTTGGCCAATCCGCTCAAGATCGGTCCAGGGCATTGGTGTTTGACTCAGGTGTAAGCGGCCGCTTGACCTCGTCAAACTCTGTTTCGAAATGTCCATGCATAAGCCCGTGGCCAGTATGTTCCCCGCTGTTGTTGAGCCGGCCGCGCCGCGTGTAGCAAGAGGCCAAAAGCCCGAAGCCAATTCAAGCGCAACTCCTGACTGGGGTTGAAGTTGCAGGTGTTCTGTTCAGTCAACAGAAGGGCCACGGGCCGAATCGGTGTCCAAATGTTTGGTTTAGATTTTCCGTTGGAAGTGCGCACACGGCATACGGAAGCTGTGCCATTCGTAGATGCTCCAAACCATTTGCCAGCCGCCAGTCCGCCCGAAGCCACTAGGGAGAATTGCTTTTAGGTCTTTTTGGTTTTAACTTTCCGGTGAGGGCGGCATTGGGATTCGTTGGTGAGGGGGGGCACCTGAAAATCGAAGAAACAAGAAACATATATAAATATATATATATATATGTATTATGTATGTATATGAAGGATCTGCGCGGGAGGGTTCAGAGATGGTGCATGATGGTGCTAATCTTTCTTGCAGCTCATCTTGGCCAAGGGACTTTCTGCCACAAAGATGGGGGCAACAGGAGTCGCCTCGATTATCGTCGGAGTAGCCTCGCGCGTCTCGTAGGTCAGGCGTTGACCTACGACGCGGCGACCTTCAAGAGGCGACGGAGCGGGAACGCATGCCATGCGAATAAGAGAAAAGGGACTCAGAGGAAGCGAGTTTGATGGACTCAAACCATATGAGTGCTAGCTTCCCCCAACATGAGGCTCTGTAGCATGATGCAAAATGAGATGGGTTGTTTTGAGTGTGAAGCTTTACTTAACTCACTTTGTTGCACTTGGAAACTCGTCCGGAGAATCCGGGGGTGAGCCGAATCTTAGTCCAACCCTAACCCCACCCCCGAACCCCGAACCCTCGTTTTCCCCAAAAAATCATCGGCCAGAACAATTGCCCAAGGCCCCAAGACTCCCTGGTCTTCAGAGGAAACCGAGAGGGCTTCGGCTCGCTCCCTGACTTCCGTTGCGGACTCTCGTCACTTTTGGGGTTTGCGCCATTTTTGTTTGGCAAACAAAAGGAAAGATCCCTTTCTCTCTTTTGGGCCAATCCGCTCCGAGCTGGGAAAAAAAAGCGCGTCCTTTTTCTTTTCTTTTTCGGGCCAGTCCACCTCCAACAAAAAGAGTCGAACCACTTTTTTCGGTTTGGGCCAATCCACTTCCGGGAGGGACATGAGACAGACGTGAGGTCGGGCGTGTCTTTGGAGGCTGGGGTACCTCTCCCTGGACAGCAACGAGCGCTCCCAGTTCCAGGCGCGGGAGTTGAAGAGCGCCGGGGCCTCGGAGAGCGGCTCGGCCGGCTGGACGGCCGGCGGTCTGGTTTGTAGGAGATGAAGGAATCAACCCCCTGGCGTGGTTGTTGTTGGGAAACAGTTTTTACCTTTTTGCTGATTGTGGTTTAGTGGGACATCCCCACTTAGCTGCTGAGATTTAAATTTTTGCTCTCCTTCCAACGTCAACCAAGCTGGTTATTACTATGGGCCCTGGCTTTAGTGGCACTTGTGGAGGGGAACTCCCCTGCCCCACTGTGGATGGACGAAATCCACTTCGCACCACTTTGAAACCATATTATGTACAGGGGAAGCATCACCCCAATTTGTTTTAAGTGGTGCAGAATTTCGTCCATCCACAGTATTAATGAACAGGACACTCGGAGACAAGTAATCCGGGGTCAACATTCACCCTGAAAAGGGATTTTGGCGTGCGCTTTCCCTGCAAAGCCGATTTCCGGCTCTTTGGCGGAACATCACACCTTCCAAGCCGTTTAAATCAAAGGCCACTGCGCAGGCAGTAGAAAGGTTGTAGCTTTCACATCCAAGACACTTTTGGCGGAGACCGATTGCTGCACCTGAGCAGCCGTTTTGCTTGCCCCGAGCCATAGACCGACTGAGGTCTATGTGGATGCGGGGAGCCCAGAAGTTTCGGTGGATGCAGAAGCTGCACAATCCTGAGATGTGTCGGTTGTGACGTCCGTTTGGGGTGCACTCCAACAGTCTGGCCCAACTGGGTTTGTCTCAAAACAAGCAAGCCCCGATAGACGGTGTCCGTTTCATTTCCGTGCTTAAGCCAACCCAAGCGATCCAAAAGGAGTCCGAAAACAGACACAGCCACCCAATCTGGACCACTTTGGCTCGCCTAGTTTTGGTAAGCCTGGAGGCTAAGGCCTTCGTGTTAGGTTGGGGTGGGGTGCAGGCACGACAGGAGCTACTGTGGATGGACAAAATCCTGCACCACCTGAAAGAACATGGGAAACTGTTGTTTGTTGGTATGTACAGGGGAATCGAATCAGAAGCCAGGGTTTCTTGGTGCCTAAGAGGATTTCGAAACCGTTTCCAGTATCTCTGGTTCACCGGGATATGAGTCCAACGAGGGTTGTCGGTGGGAAACATTTTACATTTTTGCTTGTTGCAGTTTAGTGGGGAAGTCCCCACTTAATTGCTATTTTGTTTTTCTCCCCTTCCAACGTCAACCAAGTTCAACCCCGAGAAGCGATTTGCACACCGAAGGTCCCCTCGACTTGGAGCCCTTGGCTTGAAGGGCTGAAGGACTGGAAATCAAGCTTGCAATCGGTGCGAGAGGTGCGGGGAATGAAAAATGGAATGACCCAATGGAATGAAATGGAATTTCCATTACTGGTGGTTTCACTTAATTGAGGTGCTCTGACCCAAGAGAAATCACCCAACCGGTGGTTTCGACTAAATTCAGGTGACCCCTGGGTTCATTCAACCACACTCACCGAGCTTGGAGGTCGAGTCCAACCCCACCCCGTCGAACTGCCGAGGTCACCGCGCAATTCGTCAAGATCCTGTTTCACAAGCGCCGCGGCGTCGAGTCTCGTCGAAGCCGAGTCTTTCTTTCAGCCTGACCAGAGCGGGCGCCCACGAGCCGCAACGAGATAGACACCCAGCGGCGGCTTTTTTTTTCTTCTCTCCTTGTTCGGCGGGGAGTTCCGTTGAAAGTCAACTGCCACCAGTGCCCTATTTCCCTCATGCAGGCTCATGGCCACTGGGGGGGGGGTCGGAAAAATGCAATTTACGCGTTCTCTAATAATCTGGTTCCATAATTTCCGGCTTGCCTGGGTGGCCCTGAAAGTAACGGCCCAAACGTCGCAAGGAGATCTATGCGACCGACTGAAAAGGCGAAACACCAAGCAGCGAAGAACAGGCCATTGCATCTTGGGATGTCAAGGCCAACGTTGAAAAGTTCCTTGGACCTCCAGCGTAGGTGGTTCCTACCATTTTGGTGTTGATAAAGCTTATGGGAAGGGCCATATTCACATGTTTAACTATGCCAGCAGAACCAACGCTCACTGGGTTTGTGCGCTGCTGGAGTGCGCGTAGTGAAATCCCAAATCATCCACTTCTTGCGGCCGCGAAGTTTTCGGGCGAGGTGCCATGTCAACCGCTACAACATCGTCAACCAGGCACCTGCGTTCTGTCGGGCCCGCCTGACATTGGGGAGAAAGATCCAGAGGTAGGCACGGTAGACTCCCTACTGTGGATGGACGAAATCCTGCACCACCCAAGAAACCCTGGAATGATGCGATTCCCCTGTAAATACCAACAAACCAATGGTTTCCATTGGTTTCAATCTGGTGCGAAATGGATTTCGCAACCGTCCACATCATTGCACCTGGATTTCTGATTTGTTGCTTCGGTTTCGGAGAGGGCGAGATCTCTTGGACGAGCCAGTGGAACCAAAGCCCAAGACGATCGGCGTCCAGTTCTCGTTCCCTGCTCGCTACCGCGCGATGCCATTTCGGGGACGGTGACGAGCTTCAGCGCTTTGCGGGGTGCTTTCCATCCAAGGCGATGAATGGATCACCTACTACTGGGTTGCGATTTGCTGGGCTTCAACCTTTGCTGGTGCTCAGTTGGGAATGCGGGAATGAACCCAGGGGTTCCCTTAAAGGAAACCACAAGGGCTGGTTGAAAGGACTCCCTGCACCTGAGCCGTTTCTGAGCCGGATGCGTTGGAATCCAAGCTGACTCAGTGCGTTTTTGGGGCTGTGTACTTGGGCTGTTTTGTTATGCCTGGGATTCTCCGGTTTCTTGCACCCAATCATTCTGAGTCGTTCCAAGCCAACGCATCCGTTGATTTCTATCCAAAGACCAGACTGCTGGAAGGCACTGGCAACAGTAAGTTGTTGAAAACCTTTGGTTTTCCAAATCCGGTCCACTTTTGTCGTGGCCCCAAAAGGTTACGTAGATGACCTTTTATTTCTGGCAAGTCCTTTGCGCAACTGACTGCAATTGAAAGCCATTCATACTAGTGGCCTATGAGGCAAGAGGTATGGTATGATAATATCTCATTGCCAGACGCAAAGCTCAGCCTTGTGCGGAGAATATGCGCCTTTTTCAGAACTCCTCCATTTTCCCTTTTGACCAGCAGCACATTTTTTCTTTTGAAGGGCGCCGGAGCAGTGTAATCAGTCTCGCCCGTTTGGAGCCCCGCTGCATTTGAAAAGCTTCGTACGGAGGGTGTGGGCTCAAAGGCTTTGTGGGTGTCTTGGTGTTTGTCAGGTGCCCTTTCCAGTTCCAGGTTGGTCGGCGACCAAAGGAAACCCACCCAAAGATACCTTGGGGTCCACATGTAAAACAGGGGAGCCTTTTCAAAAGGTGGGGTCCCAAAAAAGCACAGGCAACACCTCCAACCGACCACGGTGGTTCCATGCCGACAAAAGGAACAGGTCCCCTGAGTCGCGAGGTGGGCCTCATAGCGCTGAACTGCCTGGGGGAAGCTCTTGGGCGCGGGCCTCGAATCGGTCGAGTCGGAGGTCGAGGGCTCCAAGGATGCACTTGTGTGTGAGGCTATGTTGTGCTTGCTTTTCGTTTGTGTTTCTCTTTTTGGTGCTGTTTTGGCTGCGATGCGGCATCATTCATAGCAGTAGGGTCATGGAATATTTGAGCTCGAAGTAAGGGGATCCCTTTTGGGTTTCCTTTGGAACCACTGCAAAAAGAGAGTACCCTCAAAACACCCCGTTTGGACGAACTAGTAGCCACCTGCATGTGTTTCATGGGGTTACTGCACGTCCTTTCGTAGGCTTTAATCATTACCCTTTATGCCCATGGGCGAGTTGTTTCTGAAAGGGTTGCCGTCATTGAGCCACTGAGAGCCAACTAGCATGTGTTTGGTCCACAAGCTTGGCCGTAGCCAGCTTCAGCCTTCACCGACAGGGGCGCTTAGGCTTCAAGCTGATCTGGTCACTCCCCCCTGCACTGATGGCAGGACAACTTCTGCCCGGCATCCCTCACCTTGGTGTGAGTGACTTGCATATGGGGCTGCAAAGAAACCACACGCATCAGCAAAGGCAAAAACCACCGCCAACACGACCACCAGCCCAAGGTTAGAATTTAGCATATTAGTGAAATTCACCAAAGGGAAGCACGAGGTGATCGCAAAATGTGTTCCAAAGCGGACTTGGACCACCGTGCAACCCTAGAATTCACCCGGACCGCCTTGTAAAGCATTTCGGACAAGTGGCTTAGTGATACCATGAGAAGTAGTCACGACCCAGGTCAAAATCACAAGGGTGATGTGTGAAATAAGTGTCACGATCTCTAGGCCCAGTGACTTTTTCTGCAGGCCGGACCTGGCGAACGGCCCACCAGCGCCCAACCCCGCCCTCGCGCTTGGGGCCTAATGGGGTGGCACAGCCGGGCGCGCCTTTTGGATTCATAGATCTTGGAATAATCATTATGATTGAATTAATCTGGGTGGTGGTTAAACACAATTTCAAGGGAATTAATTCTGAGAACTGCCCCCTGACCTTTGAAAGGGGCAGCACCAACCAAGGGCTTCAACAAAAGGACCTCCGTGCTTTCCATGGCTTCCGTGATGCTTTCGGAAGGTTCCCAGATGTTCCCAGCCCGGCCGCAAAGGCTCGGCATGCCAAGGGCTTAGCCGCGCACCCTTCAGCTGACCCTGGAATGCACCCCTGGCACAACACCCCGCACAAGTGAAGTATCAGGGCAGAATGTGACGAGCTCACCTGCATGTACAACAAGCTCACTCCTGGCGATCCTTTACCTGGCGGTTTTTTTGATGTCGGATTTGCGAACTACAACAAGTTGGCCCGCACCAGATTCCTTGCGCAAGCTGATAGGGCAATGCTTCACTCTCAAGTGTGGGGGCCCCGGGGAGTCCCATGGAGAGCTCCGGATATTTTTGAAGAGCACAGTAGGCAGAGGCGTCTATCATGGGGGTATTCGATCATAGCCACCAAGCATGAAAGCGCATAGACCCCTTTTGGAAGACAACGCTTCGCTTGAGGAAGGTGTAACATGGCAAGGATCCAGCTTGGACTTCAATTGAGGAACCTGAAGCGTCATCATGTTTGGAGGTAGCCCCCGGGGTCTCCAACCACATTTATTGAAGGTGAAGCAATCATGAAGCGGATCCCGGTGTTTGTACCCAGTTGGGCCAAGTCTGGAGGAAGCCCTTCCATGTCATGGCAAAACCCAAAACAAAGTCTTATTCGGGAAGCAATTTGAATGGGGGTGTGGAGTACCCTAAGACGAAATTAGGTCATGACCACGGGAACCATAGGTGCCCTTTTTGGTTGGGTTGCTTAAAAAATAGAGGGCCCTGGTTGAGATGGGTCTTATTCCATTTGCCAGGGCCATCTTTTTTATCTAAAAGGCCACCTATGATTGGAACATGTTGGCATTCAGCCCCTTCCCTAAACGAACGTCGCGCAGGCCGCCGGAAGGCTACCAGCCGCCAGCGGCGCTGGCGCAGGACTGGGGCAGGGCTCAGGTCGGATAGACAGGCAGATAGGTGCCCTGTTTTCTTAAACTTGTCTCTCTTTTTTGGGGGGAACACGTAGTCAATTGGTGCCTGTGAGTCTCCTTTTCAACTGTTCCACATGGCCTTTTTGGGTGCACGTGTGTTTTTTCGTCCCCAGCTCATATGGGGAACGCTCCGCGTTCGTCAGTCATTGTAGTACAGGAAACGGCATTGGGCGCACTCAACAAATTCCCAGTCGAAAAATCGGAGCTGCTTTCCGAACTCCCATGGATCGTAGTCCATGTTTTTGGAAGTGATCCCCCTCAATATCAACCAGGCCCACCAAAAAAGGGTGCCAAGTTTGAAAGTTGGTGCCAAGATTGAAATTTGGTGCCAACAGGTTGGTCACCAGCTCATATTGTGGGTGTGTGGCGTTGGAGGGAACCCTTTCTGCAGGGTTGGCTTGAAGGGGAATGAACAGGAACACGGCCATTCGGGCCCCTCCGCAGTTGTCCCATTTTTTGAGCCCAATATTCATTAACCCCAATTTATAAACAGGGGGGTGCTCCCCTCCAACAGTGATGATTCCCCACTAAACTCAGGGAGACCCCCCCCCTTCTATTTATAAACTGAGGCTGAACAAATATGGGGTCAACACTAATCGGAAGCTTCCTATTCATTGTGGACACCCTTCCAATTGTGCTGCCCATAACTTTACTTGGGTGTGTTTGTAGTATGGTCGGGTTCCCATCTTTTGTGGGTACCCATGGGACGCCCCAAGCGCCTTGGACGCCCCGTTTTCTGTCCGCTGGCCGCTGACCGCGCAGACCTCTTGGCGGCTAGGAGCGGGTGGACTCCGCGCAGGCCACGGCGGATGAGATGCCGCTCGGCGGATTCCTTTACCCTCCAGGGCTGTGGGAAATGGAGCCCACTTCTGTGATACAAACAGGGCTTTCCCAAAGACTAGTCCCCCCCCAAAAAGGGGGGAGATTCCCCTGTATCACAGAAATGGGGATAAGGTTCTGGATCCCACAACCCTGTTACCCTCCCACCAATTAACATGGAACCTGACGTTCGGGGAATGAGGGGCGGAGACAGTGGGTTTCAAAGAGCCAGCGGGGGTTAGTTGAAGATCAAGCAGGGTACCTGGACATGTCGCGTGGTCACAAATGTCCATTTCTATTCAAGCCTTGTTCATCGCGTTCTTTTCTTGGAATGACTGCTGCGGGGGGGCCAAGGCGTGCAAATGCAATTGAAGTCCAGCAACGTGGCCGGCTCACCACCTTGAAATTGCCAGCGGGGTTGAACAAGAATGGATCAGGAGAAGTCCCCAACTAACCACCCCGACAGCAACAACGACAACGACAACCACCACGACCATCACCACCACCACAACAACAACCACCACTACCCGCCAATGCCCTTGCCTGCTTTGCCCTTAGGCGCTACGACCCTCAGACCTTGGAACGGATTCGCGCCCTCTCGGCGGCCAAGGCCAGCCGCTCCCAGGTAAATTTCACGCCCAAAACGAGTTCCGCAAACACAGCGGTTGTGTGTGTGTGTGTGTCTTTTTGGGGGGTCATTTGTTTGTTTGTTTGTTTGTGTGTTTTGCTTTCGTTTTTGGGGCGGGCGGGGGTGGTTCTATGTGGTTTTGGGTCCTGTGTTAGCCATCCATCTCGTGGAGGTGCACTTGTTCTCAAGCAGGCAACCATCGCAGGTGTTGTTTGAAAGGCAGTTCGTGAGTCTCTGGTTTGGGCAGTAAGATTTTCCTTTTGAGCCATTTTATGTACATTTGTTGCGCACAATGCTTACTGAGTCTGATAGGGGTATATAAGTCGAGCTAGGGGTGGCCAGCTAAAGGATTGGTTTTCTTTTGGTTTCGATTCAAGCGCTTCGGAACCCAAAAAAACATGGACATGTCGAACAAATCGCGGGTTTATACTTTGGCTTGGTGCGGCCATGGGTCAAATCGCCAGGCACGGGCTGTAGAGGCAGAGGACTACGAGGAGGCCCGCCGGGCATGAGATGCACAGGTTTCTTCAAGGGTATTTGGGTCCCCCAGTAGTGCCCTTTTACCAACTTTTTTTGGGGGGAGGGTTCCCCTACTAAAACAGACTACAGCAAAAAAAAGGTACCCTTCTTCTAGCCTCTCTACTGGAGGACCTAGGTATTAGCAGTTATTCAGGTAAGCCTTGATTGGCCGGCTGGATTGGGGAGTTCAGGATTTCAACCCCTGGTTCTTGTGGAGGGGAACTGGGAAAGGACCCCTCTAAGCCACCAATCAAAACACCAACTAGAAGGAAGCTGACGTTTGGGAATTGAGGGTATCCTTGTTGGCCGTAAAATGGTTACCTTTAACCTTTTTGGCAAGTGACAAGCCCACTACCCAGGAACAGGCGAACTTTCGGCAGTTTCGGCAAACCTTGGAACAGTGAAGCTATAGAAGCTTTTATGTGCGTTACCATTGTCCTTGTGAGGCACTATGTGCCTTTTGTATAAGTGTTATATAGCCTTTTTATACTTCTAGAATGCATGCTGGGCCAACGGGGGCTTTCATCATGTTCCAGTGCACGAGATCAACAGCAAGCGAGGGATCACCAGAGTTCATTACTTTTCGCTTCTTAAGTTTTGGGGACTTGTTCCCTCTCTCTCACTCTCTGCATTTCAACCTGCATGATGCCCTCCCTTCCAACAACAAATATGGAACTTGAAAGGCAACACGGCCCTGTCAGGGCCGTTTTGCCTTTCAGGGGGCCCTCTTTCAGGCCGGGAGCGTTTTTGTTGTTTTCCGGAGCTTGGAATGCAAAAGCAAGCACCATCGCAGGCCAAACGCCTGAAAGAGGTGCTTGCCAGGCGCGGGAAGGGAGGTGGGACGTGGCGCGTGAGTCATCTGCCAAAAACTCGGGGAACCGAACAAAACTGCGGAGGTCCTTTTGGTGACCTCTTAAAATGAACATCGAGCTGATAGATTGGTGCAGAACGTAAAACCATGAAAGATGAAAAGGACGAGACTCCGAAAGAAACCTTCCCTCCCCGCCTTTCGTTGAAGCTGAGAAGGCCCCAAAAGAAACTCATCTCCAAAAGTCTTCAGAGAAGGGGTTTGTGTGTTTGGAGGTCGCTGCCGTGAAACTGGACTGCGCGGCTTCAGGGACCCCCCCACAAATTCACATTTTTTTTAGAGTCACTCTGGAATTCTCCTTTGCCGACTTATAAATCGAGCTGTGTGATGAAGGCCGAAGGCCCTTATTGTAGAATTTGCAGATTCAGTTGTTGAAGTACAACCCCATGTTGACTTCCCTTTTTGGCCAACTTTCGGGAACTTACATCTTTTCCCTTGACTGAAATGATGAACGTGTCAAGGGGCGGGGTACCTTAGTAAGTGGTTACCTTGAATCACAGAACGTACAAGAATCCTGGGTTTATCGCTGAAAGTTGTCCAAAGTCGTTGGTTTTTTCTTTGCGAGTGGTCGGACCTCTCTGTTTCTGTTTTTAGTCGACCGCTGGGCCAGGCTGCGTCAGACCGGCCTTCTTCTCCGGGAACTGGAGGCGAGTGAAACCAAACCTTTGCTTGTTTCAGCATTTGGGGGCATGGTGTCAGTTTTCGGACATCGTGACTCGGGGAAATAGGTTGTTTTGGTCTTGATTGCTATTGGGTTGGATCTTTAGACTCACTGTTTGGGAACTGTGGGTTTTCCATTGCTTTAGGCTAACTTTTTGGAAAATTGTGGATTTTCCTTTAAACTCACAAAAATTATGCTTTTTGCAGAGGTGTCTACAGAAAACCAAGTGGTTTGTGTTTTCTTCTTTTTTGGGGGGGGGGGCGGGGCGGAGAGGGGGGGGGGACACAGGGGTTTCGAGTTGGCTTTTATTGCCGTTGTTTGGAACAACGTCCCTTTTGGCGTCCGTTTGAAGGGAACTAAGGGGTTGGTTGTCTAAACCAACTTTTGTTAAATGTTAGTTGGATTTGAATTGTGGACACGATGTGTTTCCGGGTTCTCGGTTTGATTCAGGGGTATATGACGCTTGGCTGGTCTTTGGTGTGACCGAATCGGCCCTTCGACCCTTTTGGAAACAACTGGTAATTCTATCTTCCATTTGCTTAAGAACATGTGTTATTTTTCCTTGTTGTTTTTAAGGGGAATTTGTCACTGGGCATATGTTCTCATTTTTTTGCTGGTAACGACCCTTTGACATCTGGCTCGCAGGAAGCCAGATGTCCACATAGCCCACCTTCCCTGTTTCAAAGAACCCCGGAAAGAGGAAAATGCCTACAGGCAATTGAACATACCTCATATGACTTAAAGGGTTGGGCTACAGGACATCATGCAGGAAAGCAGCTTATTTACGGTGTTTTGGGGATATCCATGTGCTGCACACGTTCCTGCAAAGCCTTGGACTTTGAGTAAGCCCGTTGTCATTTTCAAAGTTTCCGGGACTACAAATTGGATTTGGGGGAGCTGGAGATCTCCATGTTTGGGTTCCATTTTCCCTTACGACCTCCTTCAGGTGGAAGGGGCCACCAGGGGCGTTTTTTTGGCGCTGTTCTTCCATTTGCCTAGGAATAGCTTTTCTTTTCCCCATGTTGGCTTTAAAGGGAATCTATCACTGGAAATAGTTGTTCCAGGGGTCTGAACCAAGTGGAAGTCTTTTCCGGCTGCCAGGACCGCAAGCGGGCGGCGGTGCAGAACGAGGACTACGACGCCGCGAAGGCCTTGAAGAGCGAGATCGACCGCCTGCGCCGCTCGGCTCGGCTCTTTCGGCGCGTTCGGCGCGTGTTTTTTCCAGGGGGTGGAGGGGGCGGGTGCGGCCGGCGGGCGCTTGCGTTTTAAGGGGCGGCCGGTTGGATGTGGAAGGGTATGGAAGGGTCTTTGCGGGAAACCAAGCCTGCTTCTGGTTTTCAGGGGCAGAAGCGAAACATAGGAAACCCATCTTTGGGTTTTTTTTTAATGTGGACGTCGATCATAACAATGAGTGGGTGTTCCTGGTCCCCTCGCGCATGTCATGTAGGATTGAGGGGGTGCAGCAAAATACCCCCGTTTTGCGCAGGGGTTAGGCCACCACCATCTGCAGTTAGCCGGCATCCTTTTAGCTGCCCTTTAGAATGAGGGGAAGCGAACAAGTTTGTTTAGGGGACACCCTGGTGGTGGTTTTGTTCAGCGAAACCAAGGTTCCATCATTGATTCACAAAAACAACAACGCCGCCGCCCCACCCTCCACGCACAAGGATGCCCTCAGCCGTTTCCCATATCCAAAGCTTGGCCTTTCGAGCCCAAGGCGTACAAAAAGTTCTTGATTTCCCTGGCAAGTGCGAGAAAGAGGGGAGACATAGATTCCATGTTTTTTTTCTTCTATTGCTTGCCTCCTCTCGGGTTTAGCCGTCTTCAAAACAACAATCACTAAATTAATCGGGAAATGAAGCGTTCCACAAGTTATCATGGACCTCCAGCGGCCAATGTCAGGAAACTCTGTTTGGGGGGGATATGTTCGGCCATGTTAATTTATAGAGTAGTGGAGCCTTGTTGGAATTTACTCCTCCCAGGGGGCTTGTTCGAATTTCGGGGAGATGCGAGTCAACTTGTCGGCATCATGGACCTAAGGAGGCATTTTGTGGAGAGGGGGCTACCACCAGAGCCCTTCATGCGGCCTGTTTTAAGGGAACCCTACGCGGATTCTTATAAACGGACGGCAGCTTTCACCCAAGCACAATCATGTGCATCCCAAAGGAGGAGCATTTGTTTGTTAGGACCCAGGATTCCCCAACTTGAAGGTTTATGTTTGAGGTCATGGGTTCCACTAGTTTGGATTGGTACTATGCCCCATTTTGCAGGGCCGATGGACTGGTTTTGAATGGTATTGTGCCCTGCTTTGCCTGGCAAAAATACATCTATTTTACCTTGGTTGCAATTTGCTTGGATGTTAGGACTTTAACTTTTTGCCAACTCCTGGGTTTTCCCGAATTAAGCCACTAAAGGTTATTCACTTTTAGCAGGGGAGCAGTTTTCAGCGAGTGAGTTACCAGAAGGCCACCTATCCGTTGGCGTATGCCCAGGATAGACCCCCCCCCCCCCACCAAGGTAGCGCCATCGACCGACCGGAGCGAGCGGAGCGACCGGAGCGGGAGACACGGCCCCGCTCGGGCAGGAGAGAGGTAGAGAGCCTTCGGCGTCTCGGATGTGGAATCGACATGAGATATGATACCAACAACAAAAAACGTATTGCATAGGACAGGTAATATGTATTTGCTTGTTGTTCATACGTAAGACAGATAAAACAAGTGTATATATATATATCGTAGCATAGAACATATAGCAGCATCTAGATGTGTAAAGTGTAAATGCATACAGATAGATAGGCGGAGCCCGTTTCTTCCAACGGGTTATCAAAGGAAACTGGTTGGTGGTGTCCCTTCAACCTACCACTTAGGGGTGACTGTGGTAAGAGTACATCGATTCTTCCCAATAAATCACTTCGGAGCCATAAGTGGGGGCATGGGAAATCATGACCCTTTGTCAATGTCGTCGAAAGGTCTTGCCATTTCATACGGAGCAGGGATGACAACGAATTCCCTTGCGAAACCAACCCAAAAGCCTACCATCAGAAACAGACCATCTGCCATGGTCATCCATGGTCAAAAGACGGATTCCTTTCCCTGGGATCGGTGACGGGGCTGACTTATAAGGCCATGGCCGGGAGTTTTGACCATGGAGCTTCGATGTTTTTTTTTTTGATTTGGAAGATAAGGATGGTTCTTTTTGATGTTTGATTGCTTTTTTTGTTTTGGTGTTTTTGTTTTGATTTGGACTGTTTTGGAGACTTCAACTCAAGCCTGCGACAAGGATACATTCCTGGCACACCCACTTTCCCATCTCCAGTGCAACGCGCCCACTGCAATCGGTTGCGAGTGACGAGTTCTCGCTATGTGAATTGCTTTGGTTTGGCAAAGGGGGGGGTCCTAAGCGGAGAAAGCTGACCGACGCCTCCAGGGTTTACCCCTCTCGGCAGGAGCGGCAGCACGGCCGGCCGCACGGCAGCCCGGAGTGACGTGCTAAATGCTGTGGATGGACAAGATCCTCCTCTTAGGCACCGCCTAAGAAACCCCCAAAACGAGGATTCCCCTGCAAATACCAACAAACCACGGTTTCAAAGCGGTGCGACCGGATTTCGTCCATCCACTGGTGGAAAAACAACATTTCCCACCAACCCACCAGCCGTAGGCAAGCAAGCAAGCAAGCAAACCAAGAACTCATCGCCACACCCATGGAGATGTTTGAGGCCAGGGCGCTGGCAGTCCAGACTGGGGACCCCCACGAGGAGGGCACCAGCCACAGATGGCACCGGAGGAGGCGAATCGGTTTCGTTTCTCAAACGCTCCGAACGGTATCTGGGTCCCCCAGCTAGGTGCCCTTTTACCGTGTCTTTTTTGGGGGAGATGCGGTTCCCCTACTCAAATCGACTACAGAGACAAGAACCGGTACCCTTATTCTAACCTCTCTACTGGAGGACCTAGGTATTGCATTTTACCCCACGCCCAACACGTTTAGTCATGCCTTCGCTTTGCTTTTGTTGCCCTTGTGGCTGGTGTGCTTTTGCTATGTTTTGTTTTTAGGTTGTTGGCTTTTATTGGTTCTGCGTTGGCGTTCTTTGGCCCAGTTGCCCATTGGCATTGGCGCATGGTCCGTTTGTTTGTGAAATTGTTTCTCTTTCAAGTCAGCCAACAACAGCGGGTGCATTGTTTCCCCTCAACGGGATGTTGCTTGCTACTGATCCTGTTCAGGGCAGCAATCCCTAACCGGAGCCCAATCGATTATTATTGGTGCAGGGTAGGGCAAGGTAGGGTGTCTACGCGGCTACGGGGCCACTCAGTTTTTTGATTAAGGCCGCTACCGAGCCGAAAGCAGATTCCAGGTTTTAAACACATTTCAGTGCCCTTCCCCAGAACGATGCGTCGCTCGATCGGAGGGTGAGAAGTTTGGCCCTTGGCAAACGAAAGCCACTCGTTCCTTGTGTTTCGCTCCTGATTGAAGAGAAACCTGAGACATGGCCACCGGAGTGTCGATTCATTTTTTTGGCAACACCGGAAGGATCCCACCTGAATTTCCAACCGAACCCAACCTGAGCCACAATCAAAACCCGGGTAGATGAAGGTTGGTAAAGGGAAGTCCCAGCCATTTTTTTTTTTTTTTTTTTAAAGAAATGTTGCGGCCGCTTTTGTAGTTCTTTACAAATTGGTTTGGGTGCACCATTTTACCGATCGGTTTTCATCGCGACTCCCCTCCAATCCGAAAAATGGCGCCGCGCCGCGCAGGCGCCCCCCTCCCGCGGCAAGCGCTCGCCCTCGCCCGGGCTGCCACCGGCCTTCGCAGCGCCGGCGCCGTACCAGGCGCCCTCCAGCGCCGAGGCCGGGGGCAGTGGGAGTTGGCAGGCTCAGAGCCACGCCCTCCAAACCCGGGTGGATGAAGGTCAGGGAGAATCTCAACCATAAAATGGGTTTTTGGTGATTCTTGAAAAGGGTTCTGGGCGCAGGCCATTTTATGACCGGGTTTTGATGGTGACTCAGGTGGTGGACAGGATTTCCGTGGGATTCATGTCTACTTTTGAGGTACTCCCCATTAAAAATCAGGATATATCCCACAGAGCTATCGTTCTTGGATTTTTTGTGCAAACCACCTTGCGCGCAGCCTGTGAATTTGGCAGTTCCCCGCCAAAGAGGGGCTTGAATTCTTTATTTTATTGCAGGTCGGTGAATTGTTGCAGTCAACTCAGATGGTTATGGGAAAGTGGGGGGTGTTCCACGCCGCTTTGCACATGCAGTGACAAATTCTTATACCTCGTGTTGCTGGGCTTGCCGTTTTGGTATCACAGAAAGGGTAGTTTCCACGCATGCGCATTGCTCATCCAGGGCGCATATATCAAGGAGCAGAAGGACAACCCTGATCTGAGGACAAAGCCACTGAAACCTTCCAGGAGTTGGCGCGCCCTTTGGGCTGTGCAAGAACCAAAACGCTTCCCGCACTCTGTGATAGCAAGCGAGCTTCATGTTCAAATGAATGCTGTTGTTTATCACATAACGTGTTATTCATTCAAAAGGGCCTCTAGTGGTATCACAGTGATTTCCCGCATTTGGCGCCCAGTTGATTTTGGCAGTGGGCGTTGCGAGACTCCCAGCATTGCACCAGCTCCACAACCCCCAACTTGAAAAAAATCCCCAGATTGATGGAAATGGAATTGGGGGGGGATGCTATTTTCCGCCAGTGTGGTGACCTGCGACCCCTGTCCGGAAGGTTTGGCGGCATATGGCTTACCTTTGGCTTACCTTTGGCAATACCTTTGGCTTACTTTAAAACTCTTACAGTTTGTTTCCACTCCACTACCCCTACACCACCACCCCCAGCGGGTTGAATGGGATATATGCGGCCACTAAAATATGGCCACTTGTGTTGATGTGCACTCCAACTTCCATGGGCAACGGTGTGGGGGTAGTGGACACCATCCTGGAAACCTACGGCGCCCCAACGGGCCACAGGACCACCCGCGCCGGGACCTGGCGGGCTCCCCCCCGCTGCCGGCCCACGCCAACGGCGGACTCGGCGGACTCGGCGGACTCGGCGGCGGCGTGCCGCGGGTGCCGCGGACGCCGCCGCTGGGCGGGGTGGCGCCGGCACCGGCGCCGCCGTTCCGCGAGGAAAAGGAGGAGAAGGAGGCGTGGGGTGGGGTGGGGCTGGGGTGGGGTTGAGGTGGGTTCGGATTTGAGCCCCTGGTTTCTGTAAGAGGGTAAACCCTCATCCGCCAAACTCATGGGAAACTATAGCTCACATCCTGTATGCTTGCAGGGTCTCGGACTTTTGTTCGGCCAATCCACTCAGGAAGTGAGGTACTGCGGGAACGGGGGTACAGCGGGTGAGGGGAGGGGAGAAGGGGTACGGCATACATAAGGGGGGGGGGGTAATTAGGTGGGGGCGCAGCGGCGCCGTTTCCAGTATTTTAGGTATATATTTGTTTGGGGGGGCTATGCAACAACGTTTTTGCCCCCGGGTAATGGTTTGGTGAGGTCATGCATCCTGGTGGTTTTGAGCCATACCCTTGGCCCTTGCTTGCGGCGGGGCTTCTGCGCCAACAGCTGGAAGTAGGTAGGTTTCAGATTGGACAAGCTTAAGCTGATGCCCCAATGGTAGACATGGCTGTGATCCCAGGTGTATGTCCCCTGGAAAAAAAGAAGAACAAATACATAGGTGTTGCTGATCAGCTCTCATTTGGAAGAAACCAGTCTCCCTTTGGGTCGTAAGGTTTCCTAGGATGTTTGCCGACAAACCAATACGACTACCGTTGCTTTAAGCAAAGCAACATGAGTGGTTTGGCGGATGCTCCGCCACTTGGATCGTTGGGAATGTTCATTCAACCTCGAAAGCTTTGTTTTGCTCCGGGGGAATGACCGCAGACAAGAGCTGTTGGGACAATAAAGTTATGTATTCAGATTTCAGCCTCTTTTCTGGCGGCCTCAGTGTGTGATGGGGAGCTGAAGTTTGTGAAACCAAATGCGGGTAGCCTTTGCCCAAGCAGTATGCAGGTGGATAAAGGGTTCTCTTGAGTTCAGGAGTCATTCAACGCCCACCTTCACGATTCTGGGGTCTCCGATATGTGGCCTGTTTAGGTCATCTGAACTTACTCCCTGAGTTGGATTTCATGATTTTGGGAAGACTGGTTTAGTGGTAAATGTTCAGACTTGTTTTCGCCAAACCATTCTGGCCCATTGAAGTGAGTGAACATGAAGCAGAATCTGGACATAGTTTTGTCGGACCCTGGCGTTGGGCCACAACGGGAATGCAGCCTCCTCAATTCCTCTGCATCGCCAGGGGGCACGGAGCAACACCATAGACTAGGCCAAATGAACATGCACGAGGTGGGCGGTATCGTAATTACATGGCACAATGCCATCATGTTGCTTTGTGCCCTTTGCATCTACTTTTGCACAGTTGGTGTACGAGCTCCCCAACTCCACCCCCCCCAACCAACAAAGGGCCGTGCCGTTTGAAAGGCGAGCTTAAGATCAAGCCCAACTTCCCCCCCACCCCCCAAAGCGGCCCCCAAGACCTCGCCACCGAGCAACAACAGAAGCAGAACCTGGCAAACATGCGGGCATCATTAGAAATTATCTATAATAAAAAGGACAAAAAAAACACAAATGCTATTATCATTGGAAAAACGGCTTTGTAGAAACCCGACCTCGGAAGTCCCAACTCCCAATCTTGCTCCAGCGCTTCGACAGGCGCCCGAGCCAGAGAGGGGCTTCGATGCTGCAAACCACCCCCTGGCGGGTGTGCCCAACGTGGAGGCGCCGAAAGCGGCGAAGTTTTGTGGCGAGCCGAAGGGGCCCAAGCGGCCGTGCGGTTTTTTGTAGTTTGGATTTCTTGGCGCAGGATCCGAGGGTGGTCGTTTTGGGGGTGATGGTAAGGGAAGCCACTAGGACAACACCGTGTTTGGGGTCTCTTGATGTTGACATTGGTCTGAGAGGAAAGCTTGGAGTAAGTCTTGGACTCTAGATTCGGAACGGCGCTCCGAAAGCACTCCCAAACTCAAGTTTCAGTCCCCTTATTAAGTACCAGGAAAACTGACTATTCCATTGGAGATTTTATTGAGCAGCCTAGTGGAGTTTCCAAGGAGCCTTCTCATTCATCGCCCCCCCAAACAAGACTACCCTAGAAAATGATACCCCCCCCCCCCCGGCCCCATGATACTACATGTGTGAGAGCGCATTTTGCGCATATGTGCCGGTGAAGAAGTGGATTGGACTTGACGGCGGAGTGACGCAGAGTGAAGCATGTAGCATGAAGGCATGTGTGACATGTGAGCGCACACACCTCGTGCGACATAAAATTTCTGTGCATTGCCATGTTGTTGGTGCTCTCATGTGGATAAAGCATCGCCCAATCCTTCACATGCTTCTGTTATTTTCATTTTGTTTGTAAAAGGAGTCTATCACTGGAAATAATGTATTTTTCTGGCAGACTTAAGCAAAAGGAGGTATTGAGCAGCCTAGTCTTTAGTCTGGGCCAATGATGAAGAGCTCACCTCGGCATTAAACCAGCTGAGCCACGAAAGAGGTTCCTTGCGGGAAGGATTCCGACTCGACACCGAATCAAGATGTGAGCAGTTTGCTAACGGCAGCGATTTGCCCAGAGCGCATTGCCAATGTTTGCGTGTCAGGATTTGAGTCAGCCGGAGCAGTTGCATGCCAGCGTCCAGAAGGAGCTCTGAGCTGCATTGAGGTATGGCCGGCCCTAGGTATTTCGACCCCTGGACATCTCCATTTGTTTGTCCATGTCCCTTCTAGTGGGAACACTTGAGAAAGAAAAGATTAGGGGACCCCCAACACCCCCTTCTCTTTGCGGGCCCTTTAGGTTTAGGTGAGAGGATGTTTCTATCCAAGCTTTGCGCCTCTCAAGGTCCATCAAGCCTGGTTGATGAATAGGGAAGTGTCTATTGAAGAAGGGATCCTTCACTTTTGGGAGAACACCGTATAACAATCTGCCTGGTTGTCCTGGGTTCCGATTGCATGTGGCTGGCGTTGCTTTGGTTTTGAGAAAGCGCCCAGAAAGGGGACTAACATTTATGTGGGGAGATAAGACGGTCTTGGCTCTGAGGGTGGTGACACCCGAAAAATCCCTCTTTGCCTAGCGAGTGCCTCAATAGAAGCCACACTGGGGTAAGGGTCACTAGGCAGCGGCGATTAAACGTATAGATTGTTTCTCAGTGGATGTTTGCTTCCTTGCAAGTTTCGAGCCTTACTTGGAATGGTTCTCCTTTTCAGGATTTCCGGGCACCCTTCTAGACAAGCAAGTTTAAGAACGAGTGTTTTGCGCCGGGGACCATTGAGGGACCGTGACAAAAAGAAGCAGCTTTGTCCTTTCCCCCAGTGGCATGAAACACACACACACACATATGTGTGTGTTTTACGTTTGTTTGTATATAAATAAAGAAAATATATAGGTTATAGCTAGGGAGGGGGCCGGATGCAGGCAAAAGTTAAAAAGGAGAAGCAGGGTCACGGACTCCAAAGCGGTGGTGGCGGGGGGGCACCGGGGTGGCTAGGGTTGCCTCCACCCACTAACACAACCCATGAGAAGGTCCTTTGAAGAGGCAAAATGGTCTTTAGGGCCACCGGGCAGGTTCAGGTCTCTAAGGGTAAGCTTGAAACCCTGATTACCCCAAAGCGTTTTTGGCCGATGCCAGATATGCCAAATACACGCTTGCCAGAAAAAAAAAAGGGGTGAAACTATATGCTTCCATGTAAGTCACCCCTCTGGTTTTGTTTGGTGGTGACCCCCCCCTGTCTACTTTTGTCTTGCCGGCAACATGTGTTATGGGCCCGGAGGGACTCCTTTTGAAGTGAGGCACCTCCTCTTTCTGAGTTCTTCAGTGGGACTTCTCCCCGTTTTGATGGGCTCTCCCCTAAACACCCTGAACCGAAGGGTCACTGCGATGGTTTTGTTTTCCTTAGGGATTGACCCTTCTCCCTGCGTTTCTCCTGGGTTGGGCGATGTTTCAAAGGCCCTTTGCCAGCGGCGCTGGCCAAACGGATCCTTTGAACACACAGTGGCCACAGTCCAAGGGGCACCTTCCATTTCCATTCTGCCTATACATCCTTCTTTTCACAAATCCTCCAGATGCCCAGGGAAAACCCCCCAAAACGGGCAGTGATTTCTTAGCCAAGAAGGGGAAACCATTGTTTTTGCAACCTCCCGGCCACCGAGTCGAACAAAGTTCTATCCGTGGCCTCGAATCGTCGGAATTTCAGGAGGCAGAGGTCTTGGTGGAGCTTTTCGGGGAGTACCTGGCGCGCTGCGTATTCTCCAAGGCAGTTTCACGTGAAGGGGGCATGGATCTGGGGTATCTCCCGTTGTTGGGTGAAATGGAAGCTAAAGGAAACAAGCCATTAAGGGCCCTGCTTTTTAGAAGACTCAAAATGCCGGTTTCGCCTTCAAAACACGTGTGTCAAACTATGGCGTACTTGTTCGGCTCTCTTCAGTTTCGCCGTTTGCTCGCTGGGTGTCTTCAAAAGATGGGACCTCTAAAAGGATCCCTGTCCGGCTCCTTCGGCTCTTGGTTGTTTTTAGTTGGTTGAGAGTTCAGGCAGGTGCAGGCCATTGTTGAGGCAATATTGAGCAATATTGAGGCAATATTGAGGCAACATTGAGTCATCTTGAATCGACGGAAGGTCAACAATGGGTCGCTTTTAGCAGGGGATCTGAGTTCGTCGCCCAAAGAGCGCCGCAGATCTCCAGTGCCCGCTTCCGTTTTTGGCGGGGGAGGGTTCCAGTAAGATTAACATCCACTTAAGGGTGCGTGCTCGTTTTCCCAAAAAGAAGGAGTGAGAGGACGGTTCAAGGAAGATTGAAACCAGGGTTCATTCCCTTGCAGCTTAATGCAGCCTGCTTGAAATCATGCTCTTCATTGGAATTAGCTGTGGAGTTCATTCTTGTCCCCGAGTGAACCCACCGATCCGGGGCTAGAACGAGTTTACCGTGATGTAGGTCTTTGTTTGGTTCTGCTAGATGTTGGAGTTTCGCTTCAAGTGACCAAGTGCTGGCAAGGGTTCTGGGCCCGTTCAATTGAACTCACGGCAAGGGAATCAAGGGAAAGGGCCAATGTTGAAGCGTGATCAAGGGGGGTGCCCCTCTCAAAAAAAACCATCAGACAGCGAACCCTCAGCCCCCAAAAGTTGATGCCAAAAGGAGCCCGTGAAAAAGGGGGGTGCCCCTCTCAAAAACAAAACCATCAGACAGGTTGACTCGGCTCAAGGACCGTAGGTGTTTGGTTAGTGTTTGGTCCGTGGGCGTCATGTCGGAGAACTTGGGCTACATCCTCGAGGAGGAGATCCCCGCGGAGCTTCAGCCCTTCAAGGACCCACTTCCGGGCCTTTGCCTAACCCGAACTTCCCCAAAGGCGACTTCCATTTGCTAAAGCTTGGTGGTTCCCAGCCATGCCCTCAGCTTTTTGGCCTTTTAGCCTTTTAGCCTTTTAGTGTTTAGTGGGGATTTCCATTTAAGAAGTTAAACTTTTAGCGGGGGGGATCTGAGGACAGCCCCAGTCAAGAATACCTTCTTGATTTTCCCTTGTTGGTGTTAAAAGGAGATTCTCACTGCTGGAAATATGTTTATTTCCAGGGGTAACCAAATGGAAGGCGAGACCTCGTTTGTTTGAACGAAGCAAGGCTTTGATTCCTAGGGGCTGCAACAAATTTCCAGACCGTTCCTCAGTTGTTCAAAGCTGACCTTTCGACCTTTTGGCTTTCCCATTTTGGACCATATCTAGTCATGGCCCCAAAAGCTGATCACCTTTTAGTTCCAGGTCCTTTGGGCAACAAATCCAAACCTGCTTTGCTCAATGCGACCGAACTACCTTTCAACGTTGAGGGCTACGCGCGTGTACCTCCAAAGGTCATCATGGAAGGCTAGCAAAATTGAATTGGTGGTCCCCCCCCGCACCCTCGCCCCCCCTTTATACATGGTGGATCATGTCAAGTTGGGGAGCGGTGGTCAAGAGCCGCTTGACCAAAGGACCGGCTCTCTCCGGCGTTTCGGGAAATCCGGCAGCGCATCGTCGCGTTCATCAAGGAGGACATCATGCCGGCCATGCCCATCTATTCCCAGCCACTCAGTTGCCTTGAAGGTTCCTAGCCATAGTATAGGAGGGATGGATTTGTGACACCTGTGTGTGTGTGTATGTGTGTGTGTGTGTGTTTGTTTTTAGGGCACTTTAACAATGGTGTTGTTGGGTCTTTTGACGGATGAGTTGCCTCGTCTTTATCTGCCTCCGGTGCGCAAATGGGTGTGTGTTTTTAGGGCACCCTTCTGGGCCGGATTTAACAGGAAACTCAAAGACATCGTCACACCAATCATGTTGGGAGGGTCCCCCTAGTGTGGATGCACCTTGAAAACCATTGCACGCCATAGTTCGTTGGTATTTACAGGGGGGTCATTCGAGGGTTTCTTAGGTGGTGCAGGATTTTGTCCATCCACAGTATTTGGCGCATACCCCAAATCCCACATCACAGCAATGGTCCCTGGCTTGCAAGCGAGGCAATGGAAAGCAGAAGTGGACAAAGTAAAGCTGCGCACGCCAGCTTCGCCACATGAGGATCCGGAATACGCACAGCACGCAGTGTGGGCGGCGTCTCCGCCAATTGTAGCTGAATTACGAGAGAAGGCCAAAGCGAGGGGTCTGTACAACTTCTTCTTGCCAGAGGTGGGTCACGATGAACCACTCCGGAAAGGCTTCCAACGCTTTGCCTTCTTGCTTTTAGTTTATTTTCAATACCCTTGAAAACCGGTTTGTCATTGTTGGATGAGATGATTTCAACATCACATGCGTAAGGCAGTGTATTGCATTTTGCTGTGAGAAAGACCCAGATCCCCCCCCCCCCCCCCGAAGTAGTTGTTTGGAGGGGGGTGGTTTTGTGGGAAATCCATAGGTGGGCAAGCTCAGTGTCCTGGAGTACGCGCCCATCTGCGAGATTTTGGGGGCCTTCGGCTTGTGTAACGTCGCCATGAACTGCGGCTCGGCTGCTCTCAGACCCATGTTCCTTCCTCAAAAGTTGTTTGTTTTCTTTTTTTTGCGGGAGGCGGAAGGGGGGTGTGTCTGGCTTCTTGAGAAAATGAGATACCAAATGGTGGACACTTAGGGTCGAATTATGTTTGCAACTCTTTTTTTATCAGGTGGTTTTTGAGGGTTCTTGGCTGGAACATGACCTTGATGTGGCCATGGCAAGGGGGGGGGTAGGTCTTTGCACCGGGTCAACAAAGGGGCTTTGACGTTTGTACGTCCAGTTTACCTTTGGTGGGGACTGGCCAAATGAAGTTGGGGACGCCTCCTCCCCTGGCAGTGTGAGGCATTTTGGGCCACAAAGGCAGTTTTCACCCAACAGACCGCGAGGAAACGGGGTCCCAAAGAGAGGGACCGCCTTTGGAAAGGCGACTGTCCTTTTTCCAGCTCGTTTATTTTCAAACTGATCGGCGATTTGTTTTTTAAGTCTGGACAACCGATAGTTGCGCTTGCTTGCAACCCTGACTCTCTCAGAGCCCTAGCCAGACAAACGGAGCCGTCCGGAACCCCTCCAACTCGGAACCTCCCGGAACCTTCCTTCCGGAACCTAGCCGCCAAGCTGCCGCCAACCCCGGAGCTTATCTGCGAGATCCTTTCAGTTGAAAAACGAGCGCGCCCAACCTGGCTGGGCTGTTCACAGCCATCCTTATCTTGGGCTACTAGTGGGTCTCGGTTTTAAGGACAGGGATTCTGGGCCACATTTTGGACGGCCCCGGGCCCAGAGTTCGAGTTGAGACCTAAGGTATGGCGCCGGACACTGGCAACATGGAGGTGCTGGAGCGCTATGGCACTCCAGAGCAGAAGAAACAGTGGCTGGAGCCCCTCTTGGAGGGGAAGATTCGGAGACTCGACTCGCGAGCGTTTTGTTTTTTCATTCAGGTTTTTTTGGGTGCTTCCTTTTGGGTAGGGGGGTGAATTGCTGGAATTCTATTGGTTCATTTTCCGTTTTATGGAGAAGACTAGATTCTACTAACTAGATAACTGGAATTGGGGAACACCACCCCCCTCCCCCTATAGGGGGGATGGTGATCGGCGCTTTGTCTGAGGAGCGCTTACGCGATGACCGAGCCAGGGGTGGCCAGCAGCGATGCCACGAACATCAGCGCGACCATCACCCGAGAGGGCGAGGAGTATGTGATCAACGGGCACAAGTGGTACATCAGCGGTGCCTGCCGGCCCGAGTGCATCTCCACTCAACACATTTCTTGGCAGAATTTCTGGCATTGGTTGTTTGTTGTTTGCTTAAAAAAGTGTTTGGCGCAAAACAACATCATGGAGTTGTTTAGGTGTTAGTTTTTTTCTTGGTTGTTGTTGGGAAACATTTTACATTTTTGCTTGTTGTGGTTTAGTGGGAAATCCCAACTTAACTGCTAATAACTAATTTGTTGCTCCCCTTCCAACGTCAACCAAGTTTTGGTGGGAGGCTGCGAAACAGCCCAAGTTGTTTTGTTGCTCACATGCCAAGGGTTAAAAAGTTCAGCCGCACCAAGTTCCCCGCATTTCTCCGGCACCGGGACCCCCATTCTTGGGTCCTTCTTTTAAGGTCCCGAGCAGCCCAAAGACCAGGAATGTCGGTAGGTGGCTCAAAACCACTATAGGAATGGGAACATTGACCACATGCTTGTGAACTCATGGAAACACTCATGTTTACTTTTTGGAAGGATCTTCTGCGGTGCAAAAGGGTTCTTCCTTCGAACGGGATAAGGTCATGTAAGTCTAGGGTTGGGATTCTCATCAAAAGGAGGGCCAAACCCTTCCCAGGTTCCTTTCCAAAGCGCGAATTGATTCGAAGAATGGGTTCTGAATCAAGTCCCGACTCGACCCATGGGTTGTAGAAGGCACGGCTTTAAAGCTTGCTTTGCGACCTCGCCCATGAAGGCAGATCTTTGAGGATGCCCTAGAAAATTTAGCGATGTGTGGCGCTTCACCCAGTAAACCCGACCAATTGTGTCCTTTCAGTTTCAGCCAGGCTTGCACTTTGTGGAGCCCCAACATCTTACTCCATACGTTTCTAACTTTTTAGGGTGGGAAGACTTCAAAGGGTCGCACAAGCTTACATGTTTGCCCAGGGATTTGGGAGCAGGAATTGGCCTTTGCAGTTTGAAGCCCTGACCAGAATTTAAAGGCGAAACAACGCCTGTCACAGGGGGGTCATTAGCACCAGGAAACAACGAGTTCCCAGAATCTAAGCCAACCCATTTCTTTTTCGCAGTGCAGTTTGGATTTGAGGTTCTGGTTCTTGTAGAAGGATGGGAAGCCAGCCCCGGAACATCTCCTCCAAGTCAAACTACCCATTCACCACCTTTTGGGTTGGTTTGTCTCCAGAGGGGGGCACCCCGCCCTACCAGTAATTTACCTTTGGTTTCCCTTCACCCAAAAAAGAGCAAACGGGCGCCTCCCTTTGTTTCTGACCGGCAGCTCACGCCTCAAGGCAAGGTCTTCGTCTTCTTGGGGAAGTCGGTGGTCGAGGGAGGCAGCAAGCACCAGCAGCACTCCATGATTTTGGTGCCGCGGGATGCGCCCGGCGTGCACATCGCTCCTTGGATCAGGTGCGTAGCAGCGTGTCTCAAGCGCCCCATGTGCCTGAAATGATGTGCCCCCCCCCTCTTCAAGAGTTGGGCCAAGTTTTGGTGTGACCAGGCTTGGCTGCAAATTGGTTTAAACAATGAGGCCCAACATATCCCTTTTAAGTCACCTTGATTTTCCCACCAAGCTGTTGTTTCCCCTCCCCAGCAAGCTTTTCAGACTTTAACCTTTGTTATCCGAAGAACCGGCCAAGAACAATAGAGTTGATTAGACTCTCACGTTGCACCTTTGACGTTTATTTCCCCCCACTCAGTAACAAGCATCTTGGGAGTTTCTTAAAATGGCGCGCCTCCTTTGGGCTGGTTTCAAAGTGAAACAAAAAGAAACCAACCTGGGCGAAATCCTATTTTGTAGAAAGCACACTTGTTTTTTTTGCAGTTCAGAATGAACCTCCCAGGTTCGCCCGCTGGCAGTCTTCGGTCACATCCATGACCATGCAGAGATCGTCTTTGAGAATGTGCGGGTTCCGCTGGGCAACATGCGGCGCGATCCAAAAGCTTTGGAGGTTAGGAGGATGCAAGGCTTACGGGTTTGGTGCCGGAAAAGGGCCGTTGACTTCATTTGCTGAAATGAACGTGGTTGTTTGTTTGCCCCTGGTTGTTGAAGTTGGAATCTGTCACTACTGGAAATAATTTCATGTTTTCCAGGGGGCTTCAGCAAGGCAGATGGAAGTTGACAATTTTTCAAGGAGACCAAGAGGCATCTGCATAGCATGCCCCAAACCCCCCCCCAAAGGCCCTAGGAGAGCTGTCTGCGGGTTCTCAGGCTCCAAAAACAGTCAAACATATGAGCCCAGCTCCATCTGCCGGAGAAAGAAATCATGAATTAGTCATCACCTGTCATCTTCCTTGCCTTTCTATCATCTGAGCTGTTTTTTTCCGTTCTCTTTTACGCATGTTTGGCAGCTCTTGCATTGCTTACCGTACCCTTTCACCCTTCATACTGTGGATGGACGAAATCCATTTCGCACCACCTAAAACACTTGAGGGGTGATGCTTCCACTGTAAATGCCAACAAACGTTATGGTTTGCTATGGTTTCAACGTGGCGCGAAATGGATTTCGTCCACGCTTCATATCTGGCTGTGGGTCAAAAAATGTACCAACAAATGTACCAAAATGGCACCTTGGTTTTCTGGAAACAGAGACTCTTTCACCTGCGTAACCGCGGCATGTTTTTTTTTGAGCCACACCCATCTCTTGGAAGCCGCCGACAATGAGGCTGTTGGGCGAGGGCCGGGGCTTTGAGATCGCCCAAGGGCGCTTGGGCCCGGGGCGCATCCACCACTGCAGCCTGGAAGCGAAGCGAAGTCGGAGAGGTCGGCCTGGTGGGGGTGGCGGGGTGTGCAAAGGAGTTTTTACCTATATACTTGTGGGTTAGTGGGAATACTGCATGCTACATGTTCCGAGGCGAAAGGCTACAGGTGAATTCTACTCGCTGACAAGAAACATAGGGCTGAATCCATTTTCGGGGCTTCTCCCTTGGACTTGTGGACTAGGCTGCGCTTTAGGGAGTTGTCACAAGGGATCCTTAGGTGGAAGCCGGAGGGCTTTGAACAAGTGGCCAGAGCTTTGACAACCCCTTATGTTGACCCCAAATTTATGAACGGCGAGCAAATTAGCTCTAGGATGCTCTACACAGAAAGTCGTGTGCAAGTGCTCGGGATCCGTTTATTTATTGCCGGTTGATATCCCCACCCCTTTAAACATGGAGTTGGGGGAGGGGGGACCCCTGAAATTCTTTTTATGGTGGGCACACTAGATGGGGGGGTCGCCTTTTTCCAGTTCACTCTTTTTGGCTTATAAGTCTCCTATAAGTACCCGATCGCCCCTTCAAGGGTTCCTTGCTGGGGGTCTGTTTCGGGGAGCCCCGGACCACCACTTACCTCTTAAAAACACAACTTTTCGTAACTGTTCGGGGTAACATGGGCTAAAAATGTCTGTAAGAGATGTGAACTTCCCCAGGGCGCAGTTGGAGTTTTCAGGGGCAAGACCATGGGACTTGAGGACCTGAGGCCTTCGAGCTAAGGCATGCGCACCATCGGCGCCGCAGAGCAAGCCCTGGGGGCCATCATCTACCGCGTGGGCCGGCGCGTGGCCTTTGGGCGGCTGCTGGCGGAGCAGGACTCGGCTTGAAGTTTTGGGCAAACGAAAAAACGAGGAGCCTCCAAAAGTCGTGTGGAAAACAAAAGGGGGGAGATCTTTTGGAGAAAAAAAGAAGAAGAACAAAACAACGCGAGCCCTCCAAACGGCGTGTAGAAACCAAAAGAGGGGATGTTTGCTGGTTGCATGGGATTCAAATTTTCGCAAGGCCCCTTCCGACGCCTGGTTTCTTCAAAACCTTTGGTAGTGCCCGAGCTTCAGAAACCAAACGAGGCGGAAGGAGGGGTACCCCTCGCACAAATGGAGAGCCATTGGCTTTACAAGGATTCGGATCCTCTGAAACAACTGGTAGAGGTTTTTTACATTTCGGTGACCCAAATGTATCCTTCGTGGGACGCTGGTAAGAGCAGAACATGGCCCCCCTTTTTGCGTGCCGCCCTGCGCCGCTTTGAAGTGGATACGCAGCATGACCCCTAAAAGTTACAACCCTACTCTTTTCTGGTTGATGTGAAGGGGTCAGCCAAAAGCTTAGATGCTCCTAGAGCGCAGGGAGCCATTTTGGGGTACCCCTACGGATATATCCTCCCGGTCGCAGGCCACCATCCGACAAACCATCGCGGAGGCGCGCATGGAGATCACCAAGAGCCGGTTGCTCTGCTACTTGGCGGCCGTCCAGGCGGATGACCACGGCTTCAAAGCGGCCAGGGCCTTTGTTGCCATGACCAAGGCGGGGATCGTTGCTCAGGTGGGGGATTTTCTTAACTGGGTTCTCTCAAAATAGTGGGGTCCTGTTGGTTCCCTGTAAATCAATCAAAAAAGGGTACCCTCCAAAAAAGACAGCCCCCAAATAGGAATCAATCCCCTAAAGCTACCTGGTGGTTGGAAGGGAGCCGGGGATATTCAAGTTCGCCTTTCAGGAGGGAGCTAAGGAGCGACCATTGTGAGACCCGCAGGGGCAAGAGAATTATTTTGCTCGTATACTCATGTCAAGTCAACCCCACCTTTTGGGCGTCAGGAGGATGTTCGGGGCGCCAAGCGGGGCGATGTTTGGGGAAATTTGCGGAAATTTCTGCGGCTGCATCTCGAAAGCTATCGAGGGAGGACACCTGGTTACTGCAGGGGTAAGTGGGAGTTAGAGTATCCCGAAGGCCTTTGGGCACGAAGTCGAGCCCGGTTGGGTGCAGGGGTCTGAAAGGAAACCAAAGCCCGTTTGTGCCGCAACAAAAAGCCACCACACAGAGCGTTTGAAAAGATGCCTCAAAGTAAGCCACATTGCCATGGGCCAATGGGGATGAATTATATGTTGCATTGGTTTAGACTCAAAAATTGCATTAAGAACGAGGGGGGACACCTCTCCAGCAGAATGGTTCTCAGAACCTGTTGAGACCCCCTTCTAACAACGTTCTACGAACCCCAGACCTTCTTGTTTGTTGCAGGGCTTCCCTTTTTAAAGTCAACTGCTACAGAATGGCTCCACTCACTCCGAGGGGGGGGGGGGTTTGAGCATTGTGGCGGAACTGCCACAAAAAGAGTGCCCTTGTTCCACAGCCGGTGTGGGAGGTGGCTTTTCCCGTCAGGTGGACGCACCTCGGATGTGCCAAAAGATCATCGACGAGGCCATTCAGATCCACGGAGCGCATGGGGTGAGCCAGGATTCCCACCTCACCGAAGCCTCGTCAGCGGTTCAGCGCGACAGGAAGGCTCCCAGCCGAGTCCAACGGATCACTTGAATTGGGCTTGTGGGATTGGCTCGTATTGGTTTGGATCCCCCACTTTTGTTGGGAAACATGTGTATTTGTTGGTAAGCTTCTGTTGGCACACTGCAACTTGTTGGGAAAGTTATGTATTTTCCCACTAGCCTGCAAGAAAATAAACGCCTCTGGCACAGGGGAGTTGAGCCGTTCAGCAGTTCCTCGTTTTTGGATTCGGACATGGAAAAGCCAGGAGTTTTTAACCACGCGCCGCTGGGTTGCTGTCTCGATCCTGGCTGGCTTGGGTGTTTATGCACAGTGTCTATCTCACCGGAACCTTGTCCAGCTCGGTAGCGCGGCAAACTATCGGGTGCAGGACCGATTTTTCAGCATGGATGTTGCTTTCCCAGGCATAGAGCAGTTGGAATGGCCTGTATGTTTGTCCCACATCAAATGGGACCTCAATCAATGGACCCCTGATTTGGGGGGGCGTCCCATTTAAAAGGCCATCCGGATCACCGTGGGGTGTTATCAATCCACCCGGCTCGACGAAATTCGTCGACCTAGGCCCAGTGCCTGGTGCTGCACCTGTGCTTTGTTCCCACGAATCCCTGGCATTTCAGGAACTTAGGCTATGGTTCCTGAATGTGTCAAAGGCTTACATGGATTCTTAGGTGTAGCCTTTCAGGGACCCGAAGGCCTGAGCTTGATCTGACCGGAAATGTGACAAAACGAAGTGATCGTTCAGAAAGTGCTTCAAAGTAGGCTGAAACATGTTTCTTATCCTCCCCGCCTAGCAGAGTCCTTTTGGGGGCCAGGCAAGAAGGTTTCCTCCATTTCCCTTTTTCGGAACCTCCAAAAGTGGCTTCAACGGATGCCGACATCTTAAGTTTTCTTTCGTTGCACCATGCCCGTTAGTCGCCAATCCCAGTTGCCCCCTGAAGGAAACCAAAAGGGCCAAAATTCAAGGAGGAAACCCAAAGGGCATGGATCATGTCATATTTTTCCCGGACCCCCCGTTTTAGGACCTGGAATGCCAGAAGGGTGCTGTTTTTTTTCCCCCATGGCCCAGCGGGGCTGCCGAGGATATGTACCACCACGTGCGCCATGTTCGCCTGGCCGACGGTCCGGACATTGTGCACCTCAACACCATCGCGCGGGAGGAGTGAGGGGGAGTTCCAGGATCTTCAAAACGGATCTTGGACATTTGGGCTGTGATTTTTCAAATGCACTTTTTCTTGTTTCTTGTTTTTGTTTTCTTCCGGGGGGGGGGTGGTGGTGGTGGTGGTGGTTTAAAGGGAAGCCAAGAGTAAAACTAGTGTCTTGTTGGAATCCCCCCCGGATTTGGTCACACACCCAGTGTAACAACGACCAAATGATAACCTGACGCTATGAAATCAATTTCAGGGGTGGGTCTCCAACCTCCATGAGGGGGGGGGAGGGTATCCCTGGAGCCTAGAAGAAGCCTAGCCAGTGGGGTTCAGTGGGTGAAAGCCTCTAACCACCGTCCGCTGGAGGTCCACTGATTCATGGCGGGGGGGGGGGGGTATTGGTTTCCGCCCGGAGTTTTGCTTTCCCAGGACGCCAAAGTGGACGTGGGTGTGACTCAAAATGAAGGACCCTTCCAAGTGATTTCCTTTCGGGCTTGCAAATTAAAGGGGGATCGAAAGTCCGTATGTTGAGACAGACCCAAGTGTTAAACAATCTCCCGTCATTAGCGCAGGAGCTAAAGCGCCAGTCCGCAGTCATGGGCATGATGGTCAGCGGTGAGAACAAGAATGTGGAAAGGTTCGGCAAGTTCGCCCACGTCACACTGCCAGACTTAGCGCTGAACTTTGAAGTCTTTGCCTTTTTTGGGCACCAACTTGTCTAGGTCCCCCAGTAGTGCCCTTTTACCAACTTTTTAGGGGCAGGGTTCCCCTACTCAAATAGACTACCGAAGAAAAGGGTACCCTTATTCCAACCTCGCTACTGGAGGACCTAGTTGTTTGCTCCGTGTTAATTACCCTTGTGGTTTCCTTTGTGCGTTCTTACCAGCAAAGGCGTTTCGTTGTCTTTTTTTTGCGGGTACCAATCCGTGCCCAGGTCCCATCCAAGGCGCGGCTTTGAAGTCGAAATGTTTCAGGTTTCAGTAGGTAGGCCTCCTCCAACTCCGCGGAGTCAAACTTTTTTGCGGGCGGGATGGTGAGAAGTTTTCCTGGGTCCGGGTTGGCATCCGGCAGAGTGCGGCCAAAGATGGCCTCTTGAAAGGGGCCATCTTTTTGACGACCCTTCATTTGAAGGCCACTTGGGTCCAACACGTGCGATTGTTTGTTGCTTTTCACTGCGGATATGGAGGAGGCAATCTCAGCAAGTTTAGGTAGGCCGTGCATTCAGAAGCATCGACGGTTGGTTTCACTTGGCATGTTCCCGGACCAGGCCGTCAGCCCTCGCTCGCCAAAGAACAATGGCAAAAAGCATGCCCGTGCGCGAATCTTGCGTGCCTCCGATTTGCGACCGGAGCATGTTTCGTCTTTGCGCCATGTGTCTGGAGCCACTTCCAACGATGCTTTTCCGAGGCCTTTAAGTGCGCTTTACTTGCAAGGTCATAGTTGCAGGAACGCAGAGGGGTTAGGGGGTTGGATTCACGTGTTGTTGCCACATTAATATAGGATGATTTAGGCATGAATTATAATTAAGTCGGAGCCCTTTGGTGGACATGAATTATGTCACATTGGTGTGAATCATTTGGGTTGCCAAGAGCCCGCAATAAAGCAAGCTTTGGCTGATATTTGGTGTGACTTTCAGTCTTGAAGGTTTGGGAGAATGATAATTATCCCTTGGAAGCAGCAACAAGTCAACCTTTTTGCACAGAGCACAACAGCCACAGTGCCCAAACAAGAAGCCAGGAGGCCCTGCCAACAAAGGACCAAGGGACGGACCCAAATCTTCCAAGAGGGCACCCAACAAAGGACCACTACAATTGACCGCCCTGCCACCAAGGGCGCACAGACCAAATTTGTCAAGAAAGTCGTCTATCAAGGACCACCCTGCCACCAAGGGACCGTTGTGAAGAGCCTCTGGGTCTCATCCGACTTTTGAAGGACAATTGTGTTCTAGGACCCTTCAGGCAGGCTTTATTTTAGTGGCTGGGAGTTTGGATGGGGAAATCGGGAATTCCCCCCTCTCTTGGGGTATTGGTAGGGGGGTATGGGGAATGTGAACCAAGTCAAACACAGCTTCTCGCTTCGCCAGAGCTGGAGCCTGCGGGACGCCGCGCTCCAGAAGCTGAACCTGGACTTTGCGCAGCAGCCGGGGCCAAGGAGGATTCGGACGAAAGCCCCCCCTCCCGCACGCAAACGTCCATTTGTATAAGAGTATTGTTTATTCTCCCCTGCTGGTTTCAACCTGAATCTATCACCATTGGACATATTTGTCCTGGGGGCTTAAGCAGATGGAGGCAACACAAACATGCGTTTCCCTTCGGCTCCTTGCTTTTAAACCTTCAAAAAGGTACCCTCAAAAGAGGACACCCATATTGGTGTGTCACTCTTTGAGCTTGATGTCAGAGGACTCCAGTGGAAAGCTGCCTGTTTACAAAGGTTGGGGCCCACGGGGTTGGGCGAAACTTCGGGGTGGATAAGGGGTGCCTTTTAGTAACAGTTTTATATCTACAAGCATGTGGGCTAAATATGCTTTTCTCAGTTGCCGAAAGCCGACCTTTTAACCTTCTGGTTTTCCAATGTTGGTCTATCTCTAGTAAAGGCCCCAAAAGGTTAACCTTTTATTCCTGGGGTCCTTTGGGCGACTGAGTTTTACAGTAGCACACAGCCAATTCTAATTATTCTGGGGACCATAACCCGATACCCCAGTACTGTTCATTGCTGATTTGAACCCGGACGTGGTACAAATCAGACCGTCCATCCAAGTTCCAATTCGAGAAGGGTGATTTGGGCATTCAAGACTAACCACCTTTTGCGGGGTAGTTGTTTCCCCACAGATTTCACATGTCGTTTTAAAAAATCGGTTTCTTCAGGTCTACAGGTAAGGCCTGCCTGTCACTTGGCCGGTTCCCAGGCGCCCGGTTCCTTTCGCTTCCTGAGCGCCCGGTCGTTAAACACTTTTTTGGGAAGACCATTTTAGTGGAACATAGACATCATACTTTTTTGTTGGGCAAATCCACTCGATTTGAAGTGCGTGGGGGTTTTCCATTTAACCCCTTGTTGATTGCTTGATGAACTCGGTTCCCAGGCATCCGGTTCCTTAGGCTGTTTCGTTGTAGTTGGTGTAGTGGTTGAAGTTTCCATATCCACGAAACGCCCGAAAAGGTGGTTGGCTTAGGTGGTTTAGTGGGGCTTTCCATGGATCCTAGTAGAAGTTATCAGCTGTTAGCAGGGGATCTGAGAACAGCCCAGGGCCTTCGAGCCTAGGCCAAAGGATCCCAGCCGACTGGCGGGCTATGTGCTGGTGCTGAAGCGGATGGTTCCGGACAAGAACGTCCAGGAGCCCAAAACTAAAATGTTGGTTGCCCATGTTGTGTGTGTGTGTGTGTTTTTTAGGGGCTGGAGAAAGTGATGGCGTTTTGAAAAGAACAGATGGCTTGCCAACATGTCTTCGCGTTTTCTTCTTTTGGAGGGGGGGTGTTTTCCCTTTGTAAACAGAACAGCCGATGGCATGCCAACGCTTTGTTCCTTCTATTGTTGTTTTACTGTTGTTTCGAGGGGGTGGGTCTGCAGGTCTCAGAGCTAAGGCCAAATCAGGCCTCGTTTGCCGCCCCCCCTCCCCCTTGCGAAAGATAAAGATAGAGCCCATTTTTGGAGCTGTGTTTTGGGCGTCGGAAACTCCATAACCACAACCCCAGAGCCATGAGCCAGCGGCAGGTCTTTCTCTCCGCCGGGGCGCTGCTGCAGTCTCTGTGCCAAGAGCTGCGGAACACCCGGCGCTCCGAGGCGCGGGGCGTGGGGGGGGGGGGGGGGGGGGGGGGGGGGGGGGTTGAGAGGGTGCCTTTTTTTATAGGTGTTTCTTGTGTTTTTAGGGTGTGTTTTTTTTTTTTGTGTGTGTGTGTGTGTGTGTGTTTGTGTTTTGTGTGTGTTTTATAAGAGGCCCGCAGGACAACCCGCTGTTTCTTTTTCGAGTTAGATGCAACAGGGAAAAACCGCAGCTTTTTTTGGGGGTCCGCTGAAAAAAATCAAGCAACAGATGTGTTCCCAAAAGAGAAGCCAAAGGCAGATGGGATTGTTTAAGTCCATTCCGGTGGTCTCCGTTTGACGCGTGGACTCTTATATGTGCTTCCCCGTTTATCGGGGACCCCTCAATCGAAGGCCTTCTCTTCCACAAGAGGTCGCGCGGTTCTTGTCATTTTTTTGTGACAGCGGTTAACCATACTTGTGTGTGTGTGGGTGTGTGGGTATTTGGGTGTGTGGGTGTGTGGGAAACCAAAAGGGACACCACCCTGTCTGAGGTGTCACCCTATTTTGGAAACCTCACGCTGGAGTCAGCCCTGAACATAAGGATCGGTGCCACAGAACCCCTGCGGTTGCCAAGTGCCCAAAATCCCAACGACCCCGGCCGATTCTATAGCCTTGCGGTTTTCTGAAAGTGCCACCCGGGAAGAGGGGGAAAAGGGGGAGAAGAGGACCGAGTTGGCCTCCACAAATCAACTTGGAACCTGACGGGGGGAGCCTGGAAGACCATTTGCCTTCCACAGGGATGCTTTGTCAGGTTCTATGTTAGTTGGTTTGAGGGTATCTTACTCGTTTGTCAAGGGCCCAATGGTTGAATCCCTAGAGAAAGGTTTTCCAAGACGCTTATTAGGCCTTACTACGCCGCACCTGCCCAAAAGAAACCCCAAAGCCACCCTCGAAAAGAACTGCAGACGATTGGGACAAGGGGTCCCCAGGGCAGCAGCGAAAATTCGGTTTTCCCGGACGGGGAGGCAAGGGCTAGGCAGCAAACAAGCCCGAAACCATTTGGATATGTTCCTGCGTGTCGTATAGCTACACATCCCAGTTTAAACGGAAGTGGTTGCGGCGCAGAATGATATTGGGGTTCCTCAAAAACTTGGTCCATGGGTTTATGGGTTTAATTCCCGTTTTGAGAGACCTCAACATAATTGTTTCCGCACAAGCATGTAGGTGTCTCTTTTGGATACCACTTTTTGGGTATGTCTCTTTTGGATACCGCTTTTTGGGTATTGTTTTTTTTGGAAGCGGGAAAAGCATGGAAAGCAAAGCATTTCATCAGAGAAGCCTTAATTGGTGGTTTGGATTGATTGTTGAATCGAACCACTGGTTCTTGTAGAGGCTAAATGGGGGGCCACCACTAAACCACCAAACCACCGGGCTCCAATTCACCAATGAATAAGGGGGAGGCTGATGGCAAAGAAGACTAACACAAAAAAGAGCACAACTACAAAATGGGTCTGCCTTTTGTTGCGGGTACCTCCGCCCCCCCCCCCCCTTTTCGGCACATTTAACGGGTTTACCTCCCCCCCCTTTCCTTTCTTGGTGCATTTCACGGGGTTTCCAACCACCGGCGAGGCTCGGATCGATCAACGCCGCACACGGCGGATTTGCCGCAGGCCCAGCCGCTGGTGGACCCGCTGCTGCCGCTGCTGGCTGAGCGCCTCGGGGATTCCAACGCCCGGCCTCCCGGCGGTCGGGGAGCTGTAGGTGGGCCTGGCCTCTGAGGACGGAATTCATCTCGCAGCACAGAAGGAAACCATGCTTGAAGCCATTGTTTCTTGGCATTTGCGAAATGGGTTTCTTAGGTGCGAAATGGGTTTCGCAACCATCCACAGGTCTTTTTTTCGCGGGAGGGATGCTTTCAGTCAGCGTTTTGGGTCGCCAGGTTCGTGGCAAAAAACAAGTTTGGACTTTTTGTTGGCAAATGGGATAACCCCAAGGCAGGGTCCTAAGTTACCAGCGGGTTTCCGCCTCAACCGTGACATCCCTTGACGCCAACTTTCGTATGTGCCGTGGTCGAAAGCGGTGGTTGTTTGAGGCAACTATGACCGGGTGCATGTGTTTTTGTTCCGCATAGTTTGGGTGAAGCTGCTTATACTGAGATAGTGGCAGGGCCTTCTCTGTCCAGCTGTCTCGAAGCTGAGATGTATTGGGAGAGGTGTATGA